AGAGGGTAACAACCTTAACATGTGTACACAAGACCAATGAGCAGCAAAATTTCCCTCTGTTCTATCACAAGAAAAAAAAAAAATAAAGAAACTAAGTATCTAATCTAAATCTAAAATTTAAAGAATCTAAGTAAAATAGTTGTGCTTGATATAAAACCACAGCTGCTCAACTCAAAATTTGCACTCTAGGTTGTTACTTCATAATAATTTCCTTTAACTGAAAGAAAGTATTATTAGAATTACCTGGAACTAAGGCCATTTAGATTTTCTATAGTCTTGGCAAACTGATAAAACCAAACCTACTCCATTTTATGCAAGTCAAAACCATACAGTGTTTTAAATAAAACATTTAGTGGTTTTGTGGGTTTGTTTTTTACTCTGCAAACAAATAAATTTCTATGACTAGTTCACAAAATTAACCACAATTGTTTCCCAGAAGCCTCTTGTGTCTTCTTCCTCTTTTTTATAGACCAGGATATTCTCAAATGTCCTTAAAAGGCTTCTTAGTGTATTCTCCCTTTCTTACTGGCAGAAACAAGTGACTTGAGACACCTAACTAGCTCAGTGAAAGCATCTGAAAACACATGTGAAGAAGCGATTAGTCATTTAAAGAGAGTTATTATTACTCTCTTTAAATTATTACCCTTATGCTATTACAGCAAATTATTACTGTTATGGACCAGGTTACTGGTTTAACTTTATACACTTTTAGTGCAAAAACACTGTGAAAGGGTACTAGCCTGTGACCTGGAAATTCCCCCTAGAAGGAGCATAATCGATGCAATTTAGTGTCTTGTGGCTTTAAGAGTACGTCTACCCTGCAGATTACAGCCTAGTGTCACAGGTAAGTGACAAAATGCCATCCAGTAGCAGCAGGAAGCTCCGTTTAGATTGACAGGCAGGGCAAATAAACCCACAATTCCTAGCGTCACCTCTCTTACAAATGGGCAAGACTTGAACGGAAGAGGGTAAAGCAGCACACATCTTTGCAAAAGCTAAGGAAGGCCAGGTATCATTTGGCTGGTTCTGAGCTCAATAGTGAGAGAAGAGAGTCATGAAGTCAACATATGTTTGTGAAGATAATACTGGTCAGTGCATCTGTCAGTCAGTCTTAGCTGGCTGGCTGGCCACTGGTTGTCTTAGTGCAAGATCAGTTATACTAGAATCTCTGGTCCCATATTTCCAGGCTGAAAAGATGTCAGACAGAACTACAGTATGAAACACAACTATTAAAATAAAATCATTCAATTGATTCAATTGCAGGAGAAACACATTCACAGAAATAATAGCCTTTAAAAATAAAGAAGAAAAAGCTAACTTGAATTCAAAAGCTTTGTTATTCTTATGCTGTATGTTTCATTTTTTCTCCTTAGGCATCAACTGGAAATTCATTATTGACAGAAACCAAACCATCAGAGCAGACTTTTTCCAGGACCTGCGTATGTGGCCCAGGGAGGGAGCTTCACCAGGAACGGATTTTTGTCCTCCTGGCCCATATTATGTTTGCAGAATTAATGGGAAAGGGATGAAACTAATTTCTTATATGGGCTTTTATTTCTACACACATGCAATCTGAAAATGTGGGCATCTAGACACGCTTTGAACAGTGTTGAAGACCACAGTGCAGGCTACGCAGCTAACATTCTAAACATGCAATGCCACCGTGTGGACAAGTAAGTCTCAAGCACAGATGAGCTTTGCTGAATTCGTGCGCACATTGCATGAACATCTCATTATTTTCCTCAGGTTTGACTTGTTATATCCCGATCCTGCTGACTCAAGCTGGTTAATTTCCATGACCATAGTGATGACCATTATGAACCTGAATCGGCATCCATTTATTCAAATGTGACCGTCTTGAAATTGTGGTCAATGTGTTTCTAAGTCAGAGCTGGCATCAAGGATATTCTACAGGGGTTTATGAAGTTTTGCATACCATGAAGGAAAAAAACCCACAAAACCCCCAAACCGGTATTTTTGGAACTTAACTTTATAACTTGGTGCAAAAGAACAAATAAAAGGGAGCTCTGCCATGGCCAGTACAGATAGTTTTCTTTCTTATGTATAAAGGAACATTGATGCTTTCTGTTGACAACACACTGATCAGACTATAATTGAAAGTTAAATGCCAAGGCTGCTAACCTGTTCCATGGTATCTGGTTGCAGGAATGCAAACACCACCTCTGTAGAAATCTGCAGACATCTTTCTGCTGTCTGGAAGGAGGCTTCACATTGAGCTCTGGCTGCAGACAAACCAATCAGAGTCAGACAAACCAAGGCCAAACGAAGCATCACAGGTATGAAGGCAAATGCCTTGATATATTACAAACCCTGTGGCTGAAAGTACAAGGGCAGTGCTGCTGAAGTAATGTAACAGATGGAAGGTGATTGATCTGAAAACAGGTGAGTTCTCAGACCAGTTTTGCAACCATTGAGGCTACAATTTTTCTCCTAAGTGTTCGGTCTCTGGCCAGCCCCTAAGCATTGTCCTCATAGCATTGCATTTGCCACTTACCCCTTGCACAGTCTTTCCATGTCCAGCCTGCAGACTGGGGTGATTTTGCTAGCCACAAGGTAGAAGTTTAAACTATTAATTGAGAAAGTTTTGTGTTTTCTCTCCACTCTCTATTGACACAGAAATTCACCAGAGCCTGACTGTACACCTTGAGACATGCGTGTGCATATTACACACAGGCACACAGGTCTCTTTCCTTCCCAAAAACCAGGATCTGTTTGCACACAAATCAGTGCTGGCAGTGCCTTCTGCCACAGAGCCTTCCGGCCGTTTTCAAAGCCCCTGCAATAGCAGGCATCAGGGCGCTTTACCTCTCTCTGACAAGGGCCACCAGGGGTGCTCATCGGATTATAGAACAGTTTGGGTAGGAAGGGACCTTCAAAGCCCATCTAGTCCTACCGCCTGCAATGAGCAGGCACATCTTCAACTAGATCAGGTTGCTCAGAACCACCTCCAGCCTGGCCTTGAATGTCTGCAGGGATGGGGCATCCACCTCCTCTCTGGGCAACCTGGGCCAGTGTTTTTCCACCCTGAGTGTAAAGAATTTTTCCTCACATCCAGCTTGAATCTCCCTCTTTTAGTTTAAAACCATCGCATCTCGTCCTGTCACAACAGGCTCTGCTAAAAGCTCTTTCCCATCCTTCTTATGGGCCCTTTTAAGAACTGAAATACTTCAGTAAGGTCTCCCCAGAGCCTTCTTTTCTCCAGGCTGACCAACCCCAACTTTCTCAGCCTTTCCTCTAGAAGTCAGTTGGTCTGCCCGACATATAACACTGAATTTTCACCTTCTTTTTGGTGAAGAAACATGTTTTAGGGCTCTTCTTCAGTTAGAAGAGTTCATTAGGTAGAAGAGCCCCCTCAGGGATAAGAGTCCCCTCAGGGAGGTGACCTCTGAAGGTCCCTTCCAACCCAAACTGTTTTGTGGTTCTATGACCACCACAGGCAGCCGCCGTCAGAGAGGGGTAAAGTGCCTTAGTGACCAGTACTGAGGCAGCTTTGACAAGCGCCGAGGCAGAAGGGTCTGTGGGAGAAGGCACTGACAACCCTGATTTGTGCTGTTACTTCCTCACAGCTTTCCTCCGGCACCGCTGCCTCTCCCGCCACCCCGCACCGCGGTGCCAGCCCCACCGGCCCCGATCCCACCACCGGCCTCGGTGCCTCCCCACCACCGCCTCCTGAGGAGCGGCACCCCACGGCACCACCCCTTGAAGCGGCTCCGGGCCCGCCCCACCGCGCTCCGCCCCAGCCGTGCGGCCTGCAGGCGCCGGCCCGCCCCGGCCCCGGCTGCCGGGGCTTGTGTTAAAGGGTAGAGGCCGAGCCCGGGGCGGGGGGCGGAGAGCGGTAGGGAGTGCTGCCGGTAAGCGAAGGGGTGGTCCTGCCGTCCGCCTCACCCCGTCCCGGAGCGGGGGTCGCTCGCCTCCCGCTCTGCGTTGTCGCCGGGATGGCGGGGAGGGAGAGGGAACGGGAACACGCCGGGCCCGCTGCCAGCCGTGTGGGAGGGATGAGCTAAGCGTACCGGGAAATAAACCAGCAGAAGGGCGAACCGCGCAGCCTTTTGCCCGGCTTTCTGCCGATTCCGGTGCGGGGAGCTCCGTGCGTGAGCACCGGGCCTCGGCCCCGCTGCGGAGACAGCCCCTGGGCCGCGGCGGAGCTTCCCCACTTGGGCATCCTCGGGCTGTGGCAGAGGGGTCGGGGACCCCCTTTCTGCAGCGGAGCGCTGAGTTAAGGGGTGCATGGTTCGTCTTCCAGGTTACAGTCGTCTCCATTGACTCTGGTGTTTACCCTACGATCCGTATCTTCCTCGCAGGCGAGCAAGCGTTTAGCTCCTGTGCTGTTCAGCCAAGGTAAAAGGCTCCTGGCCAGCCTCCTCCGTGCAGTAGTTTGTCAAAGTCAGCATCAGGTTAAGGGCAGAAAGACTGGATTAGGCTGGACAGAGCCCTTGTGAGGCTGCTGAAGGGCTGTGCGATGGGCTTGTCTGCAGAAAGAGGTTTCTGTGGAACTGGGAATCCTGAACCAAAAGTGAGGTGCCAGAAAGGACATGGAATATATGGAAAGGAAACCGTTGAAGGGTGTTTTATTCCGTTTCCCACCTTTTTTATTTTGCCACCCCAGGAGCGTGTCCACCCTAGATAGATGGGAAGGCCATTTACGGTAATGGTGGAATTTGAGATTTCAGGCCCTACTAATTTTCAGGCCTAAAAATTTAGTCTCCGTAGTGCAGGTGAATCCCGAAACAGTGAGGGAAATCACAGTGGTACCATTAAATGTCTAAAACCTAACACCCCCCCCCCCCCCCCCCCAAATCAACACCTCAGCCAGCCTTAATTCTGTGGGTACAAGCTCTCAACAACTGACTGCTTATGAAGCTATGTGTTTTTCATGGGTCGTGATCCTAAGTATTTTTATTACTGTGTTTCTTGGCTGCTTTTTGAATGAGTTTTGAATTGCATACTTAGAAAAAACATTCCAATCTCATCTCTGGTGTTTTAGTGCCACATCTTATTAGCTTCAGTCCGTTAATGCATCAGAAAGATGTAGCATAACCTGTCATAAATAATCCATAATCAGGCTATTCCCTTTGCATTACTGATGTATTCCAGTTGACAGACTCGTGGTCACTTTCTACAAGCTAATTTAATCATTAGATCGTATCGTTTTTTCCATTTGATAAGACCCAAATGAGGTTTGAATTTGTAAACAGGGTGGGTTTAGCAAACAGCTAGCAGATTGGACATTTTTAAAGTACAGTTGCTGGTGTTCCTCAAGTTCATTAAGTCTCAGTGGATACAGAGAATAAACAGTAGTTTATAATTTTCTAGAAGGCTGGTAATTTCCTCTGGTAAAACTTGCACTGGTATGTTAGTCTGTTTGACATGGCCACTGCGATACCTTTCTGTTTACTGCTTTTTTTATTCCTTTTCCTTTGCTACAGGTTGAAAAGATGGGAAATGCAGAAAGCAATGTGTATCAGAATTACCTTTCCAGATTCCTTCCTGAGGAGCAGTCTGATATTGATGGAGTATTTGACACCGTATCAGGATTGAGTGGTTCAGCTGCAGGAAAAAATAGCAAAGCTCCAAAGAAGACTGTGACTCTGGCAGCACTACAGGCAAGACAATATTATTCCTGATATATCTGCATTGAACATAATTCCAGAAAGAACTAAAGACATGGCAATAGTTACTTTTTAAGGGTTGCTTTTTTTCAATTTAATACTATGTTCTGAGGCAGAATGAATATTAAACTTTTTCTTTCAGTTTAACATGAGTAGTGACTTTCAGGTTTGTATTGGTTGTTTTAAATTGCACTGTTTGGTCAATTTGCAGCTTTCCTGATTCTGAACTAAGTTGGGATATATGAAAATTAATACTCTTCCCCCTGGAGTCTGCTTGAGAAGCTGTCACATAGTTGGTTTGTATTTGGTTATGTTTTCCTCAGTTGCATCACTGTCTCTAATCTTTTAACTTACATTAAAAGCAGAGGATTCAGTTTTGCTTGATTAAGCTGTGTCTCTCTGGTTTAGGTGATTAACATACATTATGCTTTCTGATTAACTTTGCATTCATTTTCTAATCAAGAAGGAAGAGGAAAATGATTTGTTGCAATACTTGATAACTTCAGTTAGGCAGGAATCAAGTGGCCAAATGAATGTAATAGTATAAGTGCGTTTTCATATATGTTGCACAGTTAATGGAATCAAATTAAAACTTGGTGAAAGAAGCAGGTTATTTTAAGACATTTAGCAGCCCAGCTTTAGTCTTCTTCCAGCCTGGCTGTTTATGGACCACCACCAGTTTGGAAATAGTGGCGGTGCTGCTGCACAGCTTTTCAGCCCTAGTACATCCAACAATCTGGTTCTTGGTGTCTGTTATTTGGGACCTGGAAGAAGTTCCTTTTCTAGTTTTGCCCGTAGATCAAATATGATCTTCAATAAACGTTTGTCTTTTCCTGCTTTTCTGTTTGCAAACTTAGTATCTTTTGAAAGACTGTAGATGCCTAATTCCTCAGTGCAGGCCTTTTGCAGTGGAATGCCTACCTCAAAGGTGTCTGTGCTCTTGCCTCAGCTAGGTTGATTGTGGCAGTTGTTTGAGGTGTTTGTGTTCATGCCTTAGCTAGGTTGGTCTAGCAAGAGTCTGGTCATATTGGTGAGGCCCCAAGCATTACCTCATGTAGGTACCACTCTTCTTAGGCTCAGTGCTTTACTAGAAGGAAACTACATGGATTCTGGACCGGAGCAGGCTGCACTGCAGAGCTTGGAAAGCAGGCAGAGCATGTATCTCCAGATACTTTCTTGAAGCCATTTCAGACAAGGATTCTAAACTGTCAGAGGTGTTTTTTACATGCTTACTGAAGATTAACTTTTACAGTCCTTTTTTGCCCCCCTGGTCTACTCATTGTAATAGCTGTAAGCATAACAAAACAATGCAACAAAGTGGTGGGTAGGAAAGGGTAGGGAGTAGGTGGGTACTGTTCCAGTGTGAAGTAAAAAGCCCTTCAATACAGGGTTTTTACGTTCCCTGCTGCTTGTCCCACTTCAGGCTCATATAGTACTTTCAGAAAGCCTCTTAAAGACAGCTGTACCCCTTGTGACTGTCCCTCCCTCAATATGAAGCACTCTAATGTGCAAGACTGTGGCTGCTAATTCTGCCTCTGCTTAAATCAATGGGAGTCTTACCACTGACGTCAAGAAAAGCAGGGTAGAGGTTGGCATATTGAATATTGCCCTATATGCACATTACCAGCCATTAACAGCCCTGGTGGCTTCAATAGGAGTGGTTTTGAGCCAGCAATAGATGGGTGGTAACAGCTGGAGTGCTTTTATGGAGCTGGAGTTCCATTGATTTCAGCATGGTCCCCACTGGGCTACAACTGGTACATAAAAGTCAATCCAGGTTGGTATGTTATGCACAACACTCTGTGCAGTGAAGACGCTGTGCAATAATGTCCTAGTGTATGGACGTATTTTAGATTATTTATTTTTAAACCATGTAATTATCTTGAACACTGTGAGAGTTTCTTGAAGCCAGTCAGATCTTTCCCACAGTGTTGTGATTCATGATGAAGTATACCAGTTAGATTCAATTCAAAGCGCCAGTTATGCAGTTTAGATGAATAAGTTTTGATTTCGACTGCCTTAACATTAGGGATGCCTTATAATAATCAGGCAATCTCAGTTTTGTTCCATGATTGAATTAGATGTTGCTGTGCAGATGGAAGCTTCTCAGAATTGTTTCTGTGTGTGCATGATGGATAAACACATTGCCTGGAATTTCTTAAGGCCAAACTGAGATGTGGAAAAAGCTTTAATTTCTCTTTATTTTTTTAAAGTTTTCTTGAGCTCCACTATCAAAGGTTTAAATTTTAGATGTTGGCCTGGCAGAGTTGTAGGCCTTTAAAACATAGTTATCATACAGAAACCCTGTTAACACTTTACAGTGTTGGGGTTTTCTTGAAGTGCATGGCCTTTGTAGAAGACCATAATCAACTTAAATCACTAAATACTATTGAAAAGGTGATACTATATAAAAACAGAGTTGTTTTTTCCGTTTTTTTTTTTCTCTTGGAAACCCAGTCCTTTGACAAAAGTTTGCTGCTGGTAGTAGGTACTTGGTATTGAAATCCGTCATTCACAGTGGTACATGTCAGCACAGATTAGCTGGAAAATATGAGTTATTTTTTATTTGTAAAATATGTTCTTTGCTGTTTTTCTCATTGTAGGCGTATACACGGGAGCCATTACCTGAGCGAATGACTATTCGGTTATACAATGGAATGAAAAGTATTGCCCTGACTGGGAAATCATCTGGGCTGAATGAACAGATTGCTAAGGAGCAGTTTGTAATTTTTATGTCAAACCTCTTAAAAGGGAATGCAGATGAGAAGATTACCATAATAATGAAAATGATCTCCAATACAGAAGGGCCTGTGAAAGGCAAGCAAATTCAAGAGGTAAACAGGCATTTTAATGTGTTGTGGGGATATTAAGAGAACAGAAATGGGTAGGTAATTTGAAGGTAATCTTCGGAGTACAAGATTCAAAACAAGGGTTCCTGACTTTTGTATTTTATTTTTTTGTTTTAGTCTCTGTATGCTACTATCTTGCTGATCTGTGACAAACAGTGTAGGCAAACCATGTTATATGGGGTGACTGTTTCAGCTGAGGGCCTTCCTATGCTGAATTGTCTACTTTGAGAAACAGGATCTGGATTTTGTGGCATATGCTGACTGTTTTGTGTGATATTTCAGAAACTCTTTTTGAAGAGTGCTGAGACTGGCTATACTGAAGAGCCAGCAAGGGTTATGGTGTGGCTGGTGCTTCTGGGAACTGAGAATGTGTTTTCTAGAGCTTTAGTTGCAGGATAGATGTGTGAATCAAATACGTAGCTTGCAAGGTGAAAGGGTGGCATCTTGCAAAACTAACTCACTCCTACCACAGTAAAAATTGGACTTTCACGCCATATTTTATGGAGATGATTTGTGAAATAACATTTGCAGAATGTCTTGAAAAAGGATACTTTTCAAGACTTACGAAACTGAAATAGCATTTCTGTTATTTCTGACTTACTATGAGATGTTTTTGCCATTGGGTTTACAGCATCAATACTGCACAACTTTACTTTTAGAAAGTCCTTTCAATCTCTTGGTGATTTTATTTAAGAAATGCCAAAATGGTGATGTTTTAACTTTTTAAGTTCACAGAGGATCTGGTCATGTCTGTAGTCCATGTACTGAGCTACAGGAAGGAACTGAAAGGTTGGAATTCAGAGAATACTAGGGATTCTGCAAGTGGAGTAAAGGCTATGGCCTCTCAGCTGCTGTCAGAATTGAAGCTTGCAGGTAAGTAGCACTGATACAGTATATCCTAGAATGGCACAGAGCTCAGCTACTCATTGATTTTACAAGAGTTTTTTTCTCTTCAGGTTGCATCTTTGAATTGAAATGGTGAGACCAGTGTTTCAAACCTAGTGCTTTGTGAATGACTTGGGAATTTTTTTTGTTTTACTGTACCATCTTTCTCCCCTGTATTCATAGAATCATAGAGTAGTTAGGGTTGGAAAGGACCTAAGATCATCTAGTTCCAAACCCCCTGCCGTGGGCAGGAACACCTCACACTAAACCATGTCACCCAAGGCTCTGTCCAGCCTGGTCCCGAACACTGCCACAGATGGAGCATTCAGAACTTCCTTGGGCAAGCCATTCCAGTGCCTCACCATCTTCACAGTAAAAAACTTTCTCCTTACATCCAATCTAAACTTCCCCTGTTTAAGTTTTAACCTGTTACCCCTTGTCCTATCACTATAGTCCCTAATGAATTGAACAAACCACCCAAGTCTTAGAAGGCAGATGCAGGGGCTGTGAGAATGAAGACCCTGGGCCCACTGTAGGGGAGGATCTGGTTCGAGACCATCTTAAGAACCTCAACATGCGCAAGTCCATGGGACCTGATGAAACCCATCTGTGGGTCCTGAAGGAGATGGTGAATGATGTTGCTAAGCCACTGTCCATCATATCTGAAAGATCATGGCAGTCAGGTGAAGTTCCCGATGACTGGAAAAAGGGAAATATAACCCACATTTTCAAGAAGGGGAAAACAGATGACCCAGGGAACTACAGAGCAGTCAGTCTCACCTCTGTGCCTGGCAAAATCTTGGAGCAGATTCTCCTGGAAGGCATGCTAAGGCACATAGAATCATAGAATAATTAGGGTTGGAAAGGACCTTAAGATCATCTAGTTCAAACCCTCCTGCCATGGGCAGGGACACCTCACTCTAAACCATCTCACCCAAGGCTTTGTCCAACCTGCCCTTGAACACCGCCAGGGATGGAGCATTTGCAACTTCCCTGGGCAACCCATTCCAGTGCCTCACCGCCCTCACAGGAAAGAATTTCCTCCTTGTATCCAGTCTAAACTTATGTTTAAGTTTTAACCCATGAAAAACAACAAGGTGCTTGGTGACAGCCGGCGTGGCTTCACTAAGGGGAAATCTTGCCTGAACAATTTGGTGGCCTTCTATGATGGGGCTATGGAACTGATGGACAGGGGTAGAGCAGTTGACGTCATCTACCTGGACTTGTGTAAAGCGTTCGACACTGTCCCACACGACATCCTTGTCTCTAAATTGGAGAGACATCAATTTGATGGATGGACCACTCGGTGGATAAAGAACTGGCTGGATGGCCGCACACAAAGAGTTGTGGTCAATGGCTCAATGTCCGGCTGGAGACCAGTAACGAGTGGTGTCCCTCAGGGATCGGGGTTGGGACCGGTCTTGTTCAACATCTTCATTGCTGACATAGACAGTGGGATTGAGTGCGCCCTCAGCAAGTTTGCTGATGACACCAAGCTGTGTGGTTCGGTTGATATGCTGGAGGGAAGGAATGCCATCCAGAGGGACTTTGACACACTTGTGAGGTGGGCTGATGCCAACCTCATGAAGTTTAACCATGCCAAGTGCAAGGTCCTACACCTGGGTCGGAGCAATCCCAGGCACAGCTACAGGTTGGGCAGAGAAGAGATTCAGAGCAGCCCTGTGGAGAAGGACTTGGGGGTGTTGGTTGATGAGAAAATGAACACGGGCCGGCAGTGTGTGCTTGTAGCCCAGAAAGCAACCATATCCTGGGCTGCATCAAAAGGAGCGTGACCAGCAGGTCGAAGGAGGTGATCCTGCCCCTCTACTCTGCTCTTGTGAGACCTCACCTGGAGCACTGTGTGCAGTTCTGGTGTCCTCAACATAAAAAGGACATGGAACTGTTGGAACAAGTCCAGAGGAGGCCACGAGGGTGATCAGGGGACTGGAGCACCTCCCGTATGAAGACAGGCTGAGAAAGTTGGGGCTGTTCAGCCTGGAGAAGAGAAGGGTGCTTGGAGACCTCATAGCAGCCTTCCAGTATCTGAAGGGGGCCTATAGGGATGCTGGGGAGGGACTCTTCATTAGGGACTGTAGTGATAGGACAAGGGGTAATGGGTTAAAACTTTTAAACAGGGGAAGTTTAGATTGGATATAGGGAGGAATTCTTTACTGTGAGGGTGGTGAGGCACTGGAATGGGTTGCCCAGGGAGGTTGTGAATGCTCCATCCCTGGTGCTGTCCAAGGCCAGGTTGGACGAGGCCTTGGGTGAGATGGTTTAGTGTGAGGTGTCCCTGCCCATGGCAGGGGGGTTGGAACTAGATGATCTTAAGATCCTTTCCAACCCTAACTAGTCTATGATTCTATGAAATTCAGGAGACCTTTGGTTTGAAGTCCCAGTTTTAAGTGGATGTACAGAACTACTTGTCATGGAACATACCTGTGACTCGCAGGTGGGAGGCATTTATATGCATGTGCATGTATTTATGACTGTATGTCCTTTTACAAAGTGTAGGTTTTATCTTTACACTGTTGTAATAATTGATTTTGCTGTCTTGCAAAGAACATCTCAGAAGTTGTAACTAGGATCCACATTTATTAGTCATGACAACCCAAACAGTGGATGTCACAGGCAATTTTTTCTCAGCTCTGTGGATGCATCTGCTTAAGATAGGTGACACTTTACTGTCACTGACTCCTTTCACATGTGGTTTCATGTCCTTTAAAATAATGTAATGATTGTGTTTACACTTGAAAATCAACAGATTATTTTCCAGACTGAGAGACTTACTACTGTTGCTGTGTGTCTTACTGTTTAGATGGGACAAAACCTGTGGGTCCTCAGCTGATGGAGACAAATTTTGATCAAAGTGTCATTGAGGATTGGGTGTACCGAGTTCCCCAGATCTCAGTTTTCCTCAGTGTTATTACCAGGCAAGGCCTCCATGTTCTGCATTCTCTCACAGACCAAACCAAAGACACACTCAACCTGGTTCCAAGCTGCAAAGGCATCAAGGGAAGAGGATTTGTCAGTCTTTTTGACATCCCATCCATCATATACATCAACTCCCACTTGCCTGCAGAGCTACAGCACAAGTGGCAGCTTTTATTTTCTTCTAGGCTTCATGGGGAAAGCTTTTCACAGTTATGTGCGCATATAGTGAACAAGGGTCCTTGCATAATGATCTTAAAGGACTTAGATGGTTATATCTTTGGTGGGTTTGCATCTCACTCCTGGGAGGTGAAGCCACAGTTTCAAGGTAAAACTCTCTTTTCTGTTTCTGTTGTCTCATGGCTCTGTTAAATGTTGTCTAATCTGTACAGGTACAGGAATCCTGTCCACTTAATGGACACTATTTTCTTTTATGACATGAAGTATTTCTTACACTTCCAGGTATATTTTCCTGTGGCAAAAATAACACTAATTTTTGAACAACATAAAATACGTGTTAAGTTGTTATTGCTTTGTACCCAGTCAGGCATATTATTGATTTGTGTTTGTCTGTTATTTGATATTGATCATAAACCAAGTTTTCCTTTAAGTAAAATCTTACCAACCCCCGTGGCTGCATAGGTTGGAAATGAAATGAGGGAAACGCAGCATAGGCAATGAGTTAGAGTTTATATAAGATGCCCAGCAGATGGCAATCTTCCATCTCAGAAGAGCTGAGCAAGGTTAAGCCTCCCGCTGCCGTTTGTGCGCTTGACTTTGTGGTCCCAGCAGCAAAAGGATCCTTTGGACAAGCTAAACTTCTTGTTCCTTTGAAACCTCTGGGGGGAAGAGAGGGGTTTTTCTGTAACTCTTTGGAAAGAACTTTTGTGATGGCTTTCCAAAAAAAAAAAAAAAATTCTGGACTTTGGGCAATCTGTCTTGTTGGGAATCCTTACCTTTGCTACATTAAAAACTAAATTCCTGTACTTAATTAGTATTTGATAACTGCCACTTTAGTCCGTTAATACAATATTATGTTATGTTGATTACACATTTGCTTTGTGTCTTTTCCTGATAGACTAACACATGTAGTGTGCTAGACAATCATATCACGAGTGCCTCTGAATACCGAACTGGGCATAATGAAAACTGTACTCTAAGTCATTGACCCTAAACTGATCTATATATTGGTATAGTCACAACTAAGGGAGCCTGCACTCATACCAGTTTGTTCAGGTCTAGCAGCTGGCCAGTTTTAGATGACACAGTGCAGACTTGTGATAGGTGTACCCTTGCACAGTAATGTAACGTACTAGTCATGCCTCTGACTCTGCCCTTGGTCACAGCCATATAATCACATTGATTTCTGTGACCCTGTACAGAGTTAACTGAAAATAAACAATAGGTCTAGATCTTGATGGGAGATTGGTATTGGCTTTCTGAAATTGCAGCTGCTGTCTTTGATTTATTCAGTTGCACTTCTTCAATATTTTTTTCCTACCCTGTTGGTAGGCATAATATTGCTTGGCCAGTTGCTTGACTACAGACGCTTTTCTGTTTGCAGGTGACGATAGGTGCTTTCTGTTCTCTGTTTTGCCCTCTCTTGCTGTTTACACATACACAACCTATAATGACCACTACATGTATTTGAACCATGGCCAACAAACAATGCCAAATGGACTTGTAAGTATTAAGCAATTTATACTGCAGGTTTCATAACTTGCCCAGTTTGGTTTACATGTGTACCAAGTGCTTAGTGTGCTGCTCTGGTTCACAGGGTATGGGTGGACAACACGGGTACTTTGGACTCTGGATAGACAGTGACTATGGGAAGGGACACAGTAAAGCAAAGCCTCGATGTACCACCTACAACAGTCCCCAGCTGTCAGCAAAGGAGGATTTTACACTGGATGCCATGGAAGTTTGGGCAGTGGGAGACTTCCGTGAAAGTGCAGGGGTAGGTGAACCTGTGAAATTGTGTCCTGATTGGAATGGAAGATATGAGTGCAAAACTTAGTGTTACAGTTTTCTGATGAACCACTCTCTCTCTATTGTAATGAATAATGTTTTCTTTAACTGGCCCTTATGGTACCATATATTTTGTAGCAAGCAAATGGCAGAACACTGGTGGAATTACTGTGGGTGCTAGCAAGAAAGAACATCAGGAGCCATGAGGTGATAGAGTCAGCAGAGCAGTATTTTATTCTGAATTTCAAAAGACCTTTCTGATATTGAGGAATGGTGTCCCATATGAACCTCCTTGGAGGGGTTCAATAAACCCCACTATTTGTAAACTAGAAAGCAAGCACTGGAAGCTCACAATTAGTAAAGCCTAATCTATAGTTCAGGAAGAGAGCCCAAAAGATTTGTTTATCATTAACTTTGAATTTACTGTTGGTTTACAGAAAACTCATGTGAGTTTATGCTAGTCTTTCTGCACTTGGATTATTTCTGGGAATGAGCAGGCAACCACTTTCCAGTCTCTGCTGTCTGTGTGATTTATTCTGTTATTGAACTGTCTAGTCTGCACAGTTCGGTGTTGTTTTTGGTTGTTTTCTTATTTTATTTTTATTTTGTTTCAAACTAGATTGATGTGCCCTGTCTGTTTACTGGACACTTAGCTCTACATAGAAACAGAATAAATTCCTTACAAAAAATGTTGAACTGTACTTCAATCTCTTCTTTAAAAAAAAGTTCACATCTGCACTTTAAACTGAAGTCAGGTTAACCAGGATGTTCTGGCTGGCATGTAACCTGAATAACCTTGAAATAGTTCACTGTCATCTTAAGAAAAGTTTATGACTGTTTTATATAACTGCAGTAATAAAAATTATGTGATGTAATACAGTGAATCTCAAATGCTTTACTTACATAGTATCCATGCTTCGTTGTGACAAGTTAGCAAACCAGATTACTTGCGGACTTTTGAGTATGTCTGTTTCTTCTAGCCTGATATCGATTCACTTATAATGACATTTTAAACTGACGTTGTTTTTTTGTTTTGAAGAAAAAGGGTAAGAAGAGTATCCTGGATGTAGATCCTGAGGCTCAGGCCCTATTAGAAATGGCTGGAAAAAGTCGTCTGAGTGAAGGTCTACGAGAAACCGTTGAAGAGGATGATGAGGATGATAACTGAAAGAATCACAGTAACATGAAAATCCTTTATTTTCCTCCTGACTGTTGATGTTCCTTGAACAGAATGTTTTTTCCTCTTTTTTTTCTTTTCCTTACATTTACCTAATTATCTGGGACAAAGCTTAAGTCTCATACAGTATTTAGGTCCCATACAATATCCTATACAATTACTAACTTCAAGATTTATGTGTATATGTATAGATATATATATATATATATATATATAAAGACTGTTCAAGACGCTGATTAGGTCTCATACCTCAACTGCACTTATTTATTTGCATGCAAACTATAATGATGTCTTACTTTGGTAGACTCAGGTTAGGCCACATGTTTCCATATGAAGATTACTATTAATCCACAATGCTTCAGTTAAAGCATTAAATTTCATGTTTTCCAAGTCGGATTTTCAACAGTGGGCTTCAAGATGTCCAAAACTGTATGTATATGGTCTTTAGTTTTGTAATACTACATTACACAGTAGAGCAGTTAAGAAATTTTCCATTGCTTTTTAAACTTAATAGAACAGAACCATTGAAGTAATTCATCCATATTCATCCTAAGAATGGGCCACACCTCCATCTGAAATTGTCTAGAGAAGGTACAGTCTTTAGTAGCCTCACTTGGGACTGGAGTGAAAGATCATGCTGTAAAAAGGATTAACTAAGAAGCATCCACAGGTAATTGGGAAGAGTAGCTGCAGATACCTTGTAAGAATTTTTTTAAATCACCATTATGTTTGTAACATGTTTAAAGAAAACTTTATTTCCACATAATTAATCATTACTTCATTATGGAAAAAAAAATGCACATAATGTAAAATGTACTTGGTTGGGTTTTTTGCTGTTTTGTTGACTGTTCACCAGTCAGCAAACAGTGTTGTCATGTCTCTTGTACTCAGAGCTTTTTCTGCTTGAATCTGTTCACATCTACCAGTAATTATTAGTTTGAACTTGTTAATTCTATGTGTAATTAACTTGTGAAAAATAGCCCTAATTTCTACCAGGGACTGTCATTTCTAACCCAGCAGATTGTGTTTGGTTATTAGTTTGTACGTCTGTCAGTCTTTCTCCTAAGGAAAAGGACCTTACAGAATCTCCTTTGTCTTGGCATGAGTTTTCAGTGCAGCTTAGAGAAAAAAATGTGTTTTAACTGTCTATACAATACTGCAATCCCTTTTTTCCACCTGATGTTTTTCATAGGGAGCCAGATTGTAATGTTCTGAATAATCTGCAATTGTGCCTTAATATAGATCCTATTTTTAAAACTTCTACTAAACAATATGAATTTAACCTTGAAAGGAGAGCATGAAGAAATCAATCTAGCCAGACATCCTAGAACTCAACTGTACATTTTGTATGCTACCTGAACTAATGATTGGGGCATATATGCTATTTGTTCTAGTACAGAGTATGCTGTGAAAGGCCTGAGTTAATGTTCTTTAATCTTGTATTTGCTTAAATAAACCAGATGGTCTCCTAAGTTTGTAACAGATAGAAAAAATGTAAGTATTAAAATAATTACAGATACTTCTGTATTTTTTTCTTGTCTGTATATTTTAATTAGAATTTCAAATGGTACAAAGTAAGGAGTGCTGTATAGACAGCAAGTAAATACACAATGATCTCTTTAAGGGTGGTGATGCTGGCTTCTGTTTTAACATTTTCAAACTCTCACCATAAGTCTCAGAGGTATTCTTCACTCAAGCACTGACTAAACATACTGAATACTTGAAGTGATGGCATACAGGAATGAGATGTAATTGAATTTCTGCAGTAACACAGGAAATATAAACAACTGTACTTTCTTTTCCTTCCATTGCAAGGCAGAAACTGAAACCATTTGCAAGGATTTAAAAGAAATTAGTGAGCAGGCACCTTTGGAGACTGTATCTGAGGAGTCTGAATGCACAAAGCTCCTCTTCACCAAAATATTTTAGTGGCCAGGTTTCCTTGCATTTCAAGTATTAGTATACTTAGTTCTTTCTAGGCTGTGAATCCAAAATCATCATGTTTAAACGTTTTGTGAGAATCAGCATAGCATTTTGACCTCTGAAACTGTGCTTTTTAGACAAGTTTGTATCTAAGTCTCTTCACTTTGAATTGAAGGTGTTAACATGCGGAAAGAAGAAAACTGACACTAATGGCACTTTTAGCAAATATATCTGTGAAGCATTATTTACTAGGACACTACTGATCAAACTAGCAGTGGGATTATTCAAAATTGTTCTTTAAAGATAAAAAAAGTGGCTCAGAAGAGACCCAGTATTTTTTTCTTTTCTTCCTCCTCTCCCTCCTGAAAGTTTAATCATTACAATGTGTTTCATGTTCATGCATCTAAAACCATCCAGAAAGCATTTGCGAGCAGTAAGCTTAGCTATGCTAAACATCTCTCAATCACTTTTACACAGCTGCTGATCCAGCTGCAAAGATTAACGTCCCTGTTACATGTATGAGTCATCTTTATTCTAGTGTGCTTTTGAAGTGAGTCTCTTCCCCATTAAATCCATCCACTACTGTGTGTCAGATCAACCTTCCACTCCTCCTATTAGTCACATCACTGCAGTGCATGGCAAAAGCTGTCAGCCCAGGGTTGGCACTGTAGCTGTCTACTTCAGCTCTCTACTGTCTCTCTCTAATCTTTGTTTGACATTTCCCCCCAGTTTCCATGAGAATCTTTCTCAATCAAGGCCAGGCATCTGGGAATCTAGAAACACTGGCTAGAGGAAAGGAAATGCTAGTGAAAGCAGGACTTTTCCATTCTTCTAGTTTTACATAATGTATCTAAATCAAGAGTCTCAGATACTTGTCAGGAACATTTTAAAATGTAGATTTTATTAACAAAAATCATTTTGATTTACATAAATAAAATGGCAGTTTATGCACAATGGCTTTTTCTGTACAGGTGTGAATCATAGAATCATAGGGTTTGGGTTGGAAGGGCCTTTCAAAGTTCATCTAGTCCAACCACCCCTGCAATGAGTAGGCACATCTTCAACTACATCAGGTTGCTCAGAGCCACCTCCAGCCTGGCCTTGAATGTCTCCAGGGATGGTGCATCCACCACCTCTCTGGGCAAACCTGGGCTAGTGTTTTACCACCCTCATTGTAAAGAATTTTTTCCTCACATCCAGCCTGAATCTCCCTCTTTTAGTTTAAAACTATTGCCCTTCATCCTACTGGAACAGGCCCTGCTAAAAAAATCTATCCCCATCTTTCTTATAGGCCCCTTTTAAGGACTGAAAAGCTGCAATAAGGTATCCCCAGAGTCTTCTCCAGGTTGAACAACCCTGACTCTCTCAGCTTTTTCTCATAGGAGAGGTGCTATTCTGTTATTTTGTGTAGGACTGTCGCAGCATTCTTGAGATACAGATCAGTGTTCTAAAAGTATACCTGATCTTAGTTTAAAACATGAGCTGCTCTGGAGGTTCTGTAGACAGCTCAAACAGTTTAGGTAAAGCATTAGAAGGAACAGACTGGTGTACAGATTCACCTGGAGTATCTTCAGAAAGGATGTGTGGTGTCAGAAAACATTGCATTTCAAATGTCCAGCATCACAGCTTGGTCCCAAGTGTATCTTTAGAGGAAGTTTGCATCAATTATGACGTCCCATTTGTGTGCTTTAGTTGGCAGCAGTGTTTCTCACAGAGTTTGACGAATTCGGACACGATGAAAACAGAGGAAGCCAGTACAGTGAGAAACATCAGGTCTGCCAAGAGGGAACAGAGTAGATATGAACACAGCTGGATTTACTGCTGGGCAGGGATCCTCAGGTATGAACTTTCCTACAACAGATATTTGTGCTGGTGTAACTCCATAGATGGATACCCTGTCTATGCTTTTGCTAGCTTTAGAATTATATGACAGTGGTAGACAAGAAATACCTGTGGTTGCTATAGTCCACTTGGTGGGTGAAGCCGCTGCATTAATCATTTGGGATCATGGAACCCTCCTCCTAACTACATACCTAAAGCAGATGGAATACAGTGTGTGTAGAGTTTGCTTAAAACTGATTCAAATGATAAAATATATATTGCTTTTCAGCAAGGAAACATTCCCACTGCTTTTTCAAAATGGAGTGGCTGCATCATGATTCTAGATAGAATTATCTAGGGAAATATCATCATAGAGAGCTCATGAAAAATCTTCACAAGCCCCTATTTACATGCATTTATGTGCAGTAAATCAAAATTCAAAACCTGGGCAGGGATAATATCACTAAATACTACTGCTATTTGTGTTTAGCTATGTGTATGTATATAGGCATAAGAGCTGTTGATTGGGTTCCCCTACCAGCAGTCTTCTGGGAGCTGTCATGTAACAGTTTGGCAATCAATCACATCTGCTTTTAAAAATAGCTTTAATGGGTAAAATACATTACTTATTTTGCAACTTACCTAGCACTCCTAAATTCTCTGTCTGGAAGATCTTTTGTAGCGGAGGGATGTATATAACAGCCAGCTGTCCCAAAAATGATCCCAGCACAGAATACAAGAACATGCGGTTTCGAAAAAAGCCTATTTCAAATATCAACTTTGTCTAGAGAAAGGGGGAGAAAAAATGAGCAATGTAACATTTCCCAATCTCCTATTGGTACTTGAATGTCACCCTGTTTCTGTGCATGTAAACTCCAAACTTCCTCCTGAAGTTACATGCTAATTTAGGCAGAGCTACATAGTTGAAAGTGTACTTGCAGTTGAACTATAATGGATACCTTTATTTGTAGAGATGATAAAAATCATGCTGCTTCAAATGACATTAAAAACCCCCTTCCTATGCAAAATACTAGTGCTCTAATGTTTATGGTAGTGTTTTGAAACAAGGAATTATTGCTGACAGAGCAATCTTACCTGGGAGCGGCATGTCAGGGCATTGAAGAGGTCAAAAAATACAAAACAGGTAAAAGTCATTGTTGTGGTTCGAGGATTTATGCCACCTTTTGGATTCTGACAGAATATGTATAAATTCAGGGGTTAGTTAAGCCTTATAAAAGTACGCCGATTCAATAGATGATTTAAATATTTCCTTTAGCAATCCCAGTCAAAGAGTAGTAAAAAAAAAAGGAATAAATATATTTCTATCTATCTATTATAGGTAGCACTAACTTCTCTGTGCTAATTGTTGAGGTTATGAGCTTATCATCCAAGTTTTAAATTCTTAAACTGATGTAGAATTTCTATAAAGAATATTCTAAATTGTATTATTTGAACTGTTATAGTGACAGCCAGTATTTACTAACAGCAATCCATAGTAATCATGTACCTGGCATTTTCTACATACTTGGGAAGCTGGAGGTGAAAAGTACCTTAAAGCACTGATATTGTATCAAGTAATAGTTTTCCCATTCTAGATAGGAACCGCCAAATTAGAGGCAATGCAGGAAGGCAGAAGCAGAACCAGGAGCTTACCCTGGGTTCTTAACCGTCTGCCCATTCTGATCCTTCCCCACTCGAAAGTCCTCCACATGTACTTCAGAAATTGCCCTTCGTTTTGTTCTCCACCCTGATGAAAACAAGATCCTTTTGCAGATTTTCCTCACCTCCTTCCAGAAGACAAAGAGGGTTCCACTGATGATAATTACAGCTGACATGAAGATTTTCAGGATCAGTGATTTGCTGAGTATAGTATCTGTGATACGTCGGGGTGGCTGTTTGATAGTATCCTTATCAACTGGTTCCACTCCCAGGCTGCCACAAAGAGAAGCAGAGGGATGTGTTTAGTTAAGGCAGATCATCCCAAAATAGTACTGCTGATAAAACAAGATGGATCTGCAGGATGTGATACTTTGGAGCATAGCAGGAGTATTCTGGGAGGGTTAGATAACATCCCAGATTTGTCTGCAACACCTGTGCCGAAAGTCTTTATATTAGACCAAGGTGCATCACATCAGTATCCCATCACAGAGGGAGAACTGGCCATGAGATTGAGGCTAAAAGTCTCTTCCATGTTCTGGAAGTAGTAATTGTAATTAGCAGTACTTGTAATTAGCAGTTGGATGAGGTTCCCACGTCTTGTGATTTTGGGGCATATACCCCAGCATGTAGCCAGTATTCCCTTGCCAGTCAGACCTGCAGGACTAGTAAACAGGTGGTGCACTTGGGATAAGGGACCATTCCTAGTCAAAAAGTGGAATAATTGATTCCACCACTGAATGTGTACATTTAAAACCTCAAATAAATGCTTTCGGAGAGACCAGGAGGGAGCAAAAGTACAACTTGTCTTATCTGACTACTGAAAGACTGGCACATTGGTAAGAAATCATAACAGCTCGTGTTTCTAAGCCAAATTCAGGCATATTAAAACCAAGAACATTTTGCTCATTTCACTCTTCCATACCTCTGCGCTGGTGGCCCGTCCATGATGATGTTGATCCATAAGATCTGCATAGCATTGAGTGGATTTGGTAGGTTGAGCACAGTTGACAGAGTAATTAGGCTCAAAGCTGAAATACTCCTGCAGAACACAGAAGAACATTATTCTGCATGGCATCACCAAGAAGGTGCTTTCACTGGAGTTGAAGCAAAGGGGAACTTACGTGCTCAGCTGGAACCGGACAAAATTCTTTATGTTGTAAAATATTCCCTTTCCCTCTTCTATTGCATTCCTGGAAGGGAGAGAAGAGTTTACTAAATTACCACTACTCATGTTATTTTGCATTGAGCTTCCTGTGACACTCAAAATGCAAGTTGCCTTCTGCAGCATTAATTTCAGTTGAAATTCAGACCCTGGCTCAGGAGGAGGGTATTAGTGCAGGTTCTTGGTTAAAATTACTTTATTAGAACTAGTGGATCTGAAAACCTGGTTCATATGGCCTGGTCTTGGATCATTAAGCTAGCCTGTGACTTATTTATGGCCTCACTCTACGCTGTTTACTCCCTCTGTTGGTGTGAACCAGCAGAGCATTGCAAATTATGTCTACTCTGAGTTTCCTGGACGAGGCAGAGAGCACAAGTCATGATCTCTCCAGACTTCCAGGCGCTTTCAAATCCCCAGTTAGTTACAGCAATGAGAAAACAGGGCTTTCAGATGAAAGGTAGCTTTGTCACCACCACTTGAAACAAAAGTCATCGCGTGTACGCGACTGAAAATGAGCCAGACACACACTAGGTGTCTCCACTTACTGCCTGTTGACGTGCATGTCTTGCGTCCTGTGTTATTTCCAGGGCTAGTCACACAGCAGACTTGTTGCAGTGGATAGCCAGAAAGTATCTGAAGTAATAAAGTGTCTGACAGTAAGAAAGTCACTGAACCTACATTACTGTTGAGAAGTCATCATCCACAAGAATCATGTTGGCAGCTTCTTTGCTGACATCTGTACCAGCTTGTCCCATTGCAATCCCGATATCAGCAGATTTAAGGGCCACAGCATCATTAACACCATCTCCTGTCATTGACACAATAGCACCAGCCCTCTGCAAAGCCTGTGAGAGTGGAGAGATGAGAGGCTCTGAAGCCAGGAGGAGGTAAGTCCTTTTGGCAATAGCAAGATTTGAATGCAATATTGAAACAGTAGAAGTGTTATGTGACTTTGAGGGTAAAGCAGACTCAGCAGCCTACTGAGGATGGAACTCAGACCAAGAATTAAGAGACTGGATTTTCAGGAGTATAAAACTCCATCAGGAGTTAGAAGAGGGGAATGAAATGTCAAAAATAATTCTCCTGATATTATGCTTGCTAATATCTCACTAGTGTCTTTCAAATAACTCAGGCCAGATCTGCAAGAAAAATGTTGATGCATTCAGTGACAATTGATACCAGAACTGAGCTGCCCTCTCTCCTCTCTCCCTCCCCTCACATCTTGTTTTAGTGAGATATACAATGGATTTAAGAGGTGCTTAGTACCTTTATTATTTTCAGTTTGTGCTTTGGACTTGTTCTGAAGAAAATGGAAACCTGAAAAACAAAAAATACGATCTTGTGTTAGGCAGTTGCTATTGGATTGGCTATTGGATTGGCTTGGTTTTTGTAATCAAAACCATTACGTTTTTGACGGTGGATGATAGCTCTGCCTCTGCCAGTTGGTCCAGCTCTTCCCCAGACATGGCTTTCAGCTTTCCATTGCAGAGACCAATATTCTGCCCTGGAAAGAAAAGCCCAAAATGAGATCTGCCCATCAGCTCTGGGAAAAGACAGCTATTTTTTGACTCAGAGAACAGCGGCAGCAATTAAAGAATTTACTGGGAAATTTATCTGATCCTAGAGCATCTGATAGGGCACATAGTTCTCTGGGCTCTGAGCTGGGTCAGTCACCCTGTCATTGTTTAGCTGGAGTTATGGAAGCAGTCAAATACCCAGAAGTAAAGCTGATACTTAATCTGTCAGTCTCTTCTCTGCTGCTTGCTCTGTATATTTCTAATGGCAAAAAGCAAAAGTGGGAAACACAGAGATACTCATGCTCCTAATATTAGTGGGGTGTAAAATCCTGACAATGCCATCTGTCTCATTTAAGGGTCTTACGCTGAGATTTCTCCATTTCTGGTGCTAAAATAGTGGAATTAAGTTACTAGAATTTGTCCCATAGCTCATAGCTGCTCTATTACTGCATTTCATATGATTTGTTTCAATGGAAATGCAAGAACTTAGTGGCATTTAAAACCTCAGTTGTACACACAAAGAAGGAACCAGTTGATTATTAAGGAACATAACATTTGACTGATCTAACGGACATACTGTAGACCCACAGGAAAGAAGCTAAGTTTGCTACCTATAGCCACAGCAGTTTCCAAGGCATCTCCAGTTATCATCTTTACTGATACACCAGAATCCAGAAGGACTTGAACAGCTTCTCTCACTCCAGCCCTTGGCGGATCAATTATTCCAACCAGACCTAAAAATGTTAGTTTGCCAAGTTCTGGACCTGAAGCCAAAGCAAGTACTAGAAATAGAGGGGGAGGGAAAGAAGACAAGACTAAATTACTAATAATACATTTCCATACCTTAAAATGAACATTTAGATGAGATATTAAATTGCCAGTTTTCCAGCAGAGGAAGTAATTAAAACCAGGTCTTTAGTCATTCTATTCAGATCTTGCATAGACACACAAATTTGGTCCAATCAATTAATGTAGTTCTTCTGAATTGGAGCATTTCTGTTCCACATGTTTGCTTAGGGATTATTTCTTTCTAATTTAAAGCTGTCCATCAAGTCTTCCTTAAATGCAGAAGGATTAAATTGGGACAGTGCGATGTTAGACTAGACACTATTAAATTGCTATGTTATACAATAGCAATCATGTAAAAACTTAGACTTTTTGTTTGTTTTGTTTTAATTGAAAAATACAAAATGTAAATTCACTTAAACCAGTGAAACTTCCATCATGCAAACGTCAAGGCTCTGAACACTTTGTTTCTGTTCTTGGTGCCTAACCGTATCATTCAATCATTCTCAAATCACTCAAGGATATTGTGCCAGGGGTTCATGTCAGTGCTGCTTTGATGATTGAATCATCAGCTCACAGCAGGTGCCTGAGCTAATCACTTTTCTTCAGAGCAGTAATTTGCCATTCACACTGGTAGATGATTCAGATATTGCAAAGCAAGCTCTGTACATGATTTACTAACTGCAAGACACAAGGCTAGAGAATATGTACATTAACTATACCATCTTCCAGACTGTCTGCCAAGACTTGTTCTCATCTATTACACACTGGGAATGTGCACAGGAGATGGTGTCTTTGTAACTGTGTAAAAGTCTAAGACATTTCTGAAAGGATGTTTCTAGCAATGAAGGGAAGGAAACGACACGTATAAAAACTTCTGTGGGCTGCAGTGACATGTAGTCAAGATCAAAAGGAGATCGTTAGATTTGGTCCTAATAGAGAATTGAACCAAGCTTCAAATAAAACTCTCTGTGCCCAAATCCATGTTTTGAATCCTTTTCAGAGTTGCCTTTTTGTTGCCTTTGAAACAGCTTCTCCAAAGCAAAACTTGGCAGAGCACTGCTTAGATCGGGTTCAGCACATAGATTTTCAATGCACCATTCAGACTGTATCCCAGGCAATCACAGCGCTCCGTGGAAGAAAAGTGTTCACCATTTCCAGTGCTTACTTTCAGCTCCTTTCAATCTCCCTAATTTAAACTCAGAAAACAAAAAGATCAGTGGAAAGCAAGCAGCCAGCATACTTAAGACATGACCCTTGGCAAACTCTGATGAGCATGATGAAGAGATCATGTAATTGATGCTAAGGACTGAGCCTCTGTCCATACTGACCAAAACAGAGCAGGAAAGCATAAGGGCAGATAACCTATAAGTGTAAGGGACGTAGACAGTAATGACTGACCCCTTAGACCTGATGACCCCATTCGTTTTTCTTCCTGCTGGTAGAAGGCTTTCTGCTGGGGCGTAAGTGATAACGAGATGCCACCGCTGTTATACAGAGAGCAGTATCCAATCACTTCTTCAAATGCTCCTTTCATAAAGTAAATATCATCCTGATCCTTTAAAGTAAGGAGATAATATACTTTATTGAAAAAAGAAAGAAAAGAGCACACTTTAAAAATACTGATAATGTATAAGGCTTTACATCCTCAGTAAAAAAGATCTTTGTTGCTCTTTTACCTGTTTGTAAAATGCACAGGTGCAGGTATTATCTATAGGATGTGATATTTTTGCTCTAGCCATTTTTCATGTTCAGCTATCATAGACAGAACGGTAATAAAAAGATTGGTGAGTTCTTTAACTTGAATATTGTATCAGTCAAAATAAGCTCCTTAACCCCATAAAGGAAAAACAATCAGCATTTTCCTCCAAACATCATATCTTTCTTCACCTGTCTGAAAAGCTTTTGTTTTCATGCTCAAACCCCTATATGAAAAGTATTATCTTCTCCCATTCAAACACAGCTTTTACAAACTAAAATTACACCCAAGTTGGGAATTTTGAGGTTTGTTCTGTTTTCTCTTGACACAGTTTTAAATTCTGAAAACATTATTTGCTAAAGAGATACCATTTGATGCCTATTGTAGAGGCACAATTAGAAACATGAAACTAACTAACACCACTGTTTGCTTTACCTGATTTTTCAGTGCGCATTTCACAGCCATCCACTTCTGTTCAGAGCTAAATGGAATTTCCTTATTTCTTACATAAATATCTTTTATGTCAGCTAATTCCATCTAAAGTAAGGTAAAACAAAAAGAGCACTGTAATGCTGAATAATGCCAAAGCTTATATACATTTTCCATATTACAGGCATGACTATTGACCATGTGCTTCCAGCGGTCATACGCCACAGAGCTCAAGAGGAAGTGTGGGGAGAGTAAAACTCATATTTTAAATCCATCTTTTCCTTTTGATGCCTGATGTGGGATAAATTAAACTGGAGTTTGAAGCTTGATCTCTGTTGACTTTTGCAAGCACTGGGGAGCTGCACTGCTGTCTTGGTGGGGCTTTGGGTCAAAGGAGGTTCAAGTCCTTTCCCTAAACCAAAGGCAAAGCAAAGGGCAGAGCAGATTTCTTCCAGCCCAAGCTCATGCTCCCCCACCTCAGTTATTTCCAAGCCACCTAACTTGAAATTAAAAAGGAAATGTGCAAATAACTGAATGGTCAATCATGAATGTAGTTTCAAATTATTTCCTGATGGATTAAACTCAAAAAGCAATTCACTACAAGAAGACCCTTCCGCTCTAAAGTGCAACAGTTCAAATCAATACACGCCTGCTTTAGCAGCATGCATGGGTGCTCTAGGTGAAGAGGTAGAGATCAGAAACAGCTTTTCTCTCTCCTAGCTCCCACCAAACCAAAAAAAGAATAAAGAAGAAAAAGAGACAACGTCCCTTGTATTCTGCTATTGCTTTGCTGCTGAATGGTGGTGCAAAAGGAAGATTTTAATTTAGCATTGTCCTGGGTTCAGCAGTAGCAATCATGTTTTTTCCTTTGTGTTAACTGGTGCAGTGCTGTGTTTTGACTTCTAGTTTTGAGAACAGCGTTGGTGAAGCCGATGTTGTCGGTTGTTGCTAAGTGATGTTTACCCTGACCAAGGACTCTGTGAGGCTCATGCTCTGCCAGGGAAGAGGGGAGGCTGTGAGGAAGCAGAGGCGGGGCGCCTGACCCGGGCTAGCCGGGGAGGTATTCCATACCACAGCACGTCATGCCCGGGGTGGGGGGTAACTGGGAGTTACCCGGAAGGACAGGAGCTTCCGGGTGGAACTCGTTTTCTTGGCCGGTGGTATCGTATTCTCTTCCCTTGTTATTTTTCCCTTATCATTGTTTTAGCTGATAGTAGCGGTGGTGATTTGTTGCTGGACTGTTCTTGTCTCAACCCGTGGGAGTTGCACTCTCTCGATCCTCCTCCCCGTTCCTCCGGGAGCGGGGAAGGGGAGAGCCCCGGTGCAGGGAGGGGGGGGAGACGAACACGGACCTTGATTGTTGTCAGCTCGGCACCACTCACTGGGAGTGAGTGAACAAGTTACCTGACTGGGTTTAAACCACGACAGTTCTTTTTTGGATAAATCACGGCAACGTGCTGGGGCTTGGCCTATGCTTACAGGGCCTTGTTCAACACTATCCAGCACCTTCAAAAGGAAAAGAATGTCGGTGGATTTGAGGGCAAAGTGACAGTCGCTACTCAAACTTTGGCTGCAATGAACTGCGCAGCTACCCCAGTGGCAAGTACAGCAGCTGCTCAAACTTCAACTGCAACAGACAGCGCGGTTACCCCAGCTCCAAGCACAGTAGCTACACCACCCCCAGCAACAAGTACAGTCGCCACTCAAACCACAGTGATAATCACTGCAGCCAAACCAGAGGACCAATTCATACCAATATCAGTTGCCCCTGTACGCAAGAGAACAAGCAAAAAGGAGGCAAAAAGGGTGAAGCGAGATGAAGAACCAATGAATTCACCACCCGGTCCAGAATCTGATCAGGAGTCATCCTCACATGACGAAGAAGAAGAAGAAGAGGTAACTTCTCGACCTCGGACCTCAACCGAGCTGCGGAATATGCGAAAAGATTTTACCCGTCAACCAGGGGAGCACATCATCACCTGGTTACTCCGATGCTGGGACAATGGGGCCGATGGTCACGAACTAGAAGGTACAGAAGCCAAGCAGCTGGGATCACTTGCTAGAGAAGGGGGAATTGACAAAGCAATTGCAAGAGAGAAAAAGTCCCTCAGCCTTTGGAGGAGGCTCTTGGCAGCTGTGAAAGAAAGGTTTCCGTACAAGGACGATGTTACGAGTCGTTCGGCCAAGTGGACTACTATAGACAAAGGCATCCAGTCTCTGAGGGAATCGGCCATCGTAGAGATGATCTATCACATCAAGCCGAATAACGGGGATACACCTATAGATCCAGATGAAGTTGAATGTACACGACCCATGTGGCGAAAACTTACACGGAATGCACCGTCATCATATGCCCATTCATTGGCAACAGTGACCTGGAATGACATAGTACCACTAACAGTGGATGAAATGGTTCATAAACTCCGAGAGTTCGAAGACAATCTCACTCCTTCCATCATCTCAGCTGTGAAAAAACTGTCCCAGGACCTCGACAAATTGAGGGACGATGTATCTGATTTATCCAGCTCCTCACGTGTACCAACACACGTCTCAGCTATTAACAAAAGACGTCCTATTGTTCAAGAGAGGAGATACAGAAGGTATACGCCACGGGGTACCCTATGGTTTTACCTGCTGGATCACGGAGAAGACATGACAAAGTGGGATGGAAAACCTACTTCAGCTTTGGAGGAACGGGTGAGTGAACTGAAGAGGGGAGCAAGGGCCAAGACTGATCGTCCCATGAGAGCTACGGCTTCAGTCTCTGGTGAGCAGTTTCCCAGATGGAGTGGAAGAGCTGATTTTACTCCAGCTCCTGTGATAACGAAGAATAATCCCTTTCAACACGACTTAAGTGTCCAATGCTGTGACGACCATTAGAGGGGCCCTGCCTCCAGCCAGGTGGAGGTAGGGGACAATCGGATTTACTGGACTGTGTGGATCAGATGGCCTGGCACATCAGTCCCACAGAAGTATAAGGCTCTAGTAGATACCGGTGCACAGTGTACCCTGATGCCATCAAGCTGTCAAGGGGTGGAACCCATCTATATTTCTGGAGTAACAGGAGGATCCCAAGAGTTGACTGTGCTGGAGGCTGAAATCAGCCTGACTGGGAGGGAGTGGCAAAAGCACCCTATTGTGACTGGTCCAGAGGCTCCATGCATCCTCGGCATAGACTACCTCAAGAGAGGGTACTTCAAAGACCCAAAAGGGTACCGGTGGGCTTTTGGTATTGCTGCTTTGGAGACTGAGGAAATTGAGCAGCTGTCCACCTTGCCTGGTCTCTCAGAAGATCCCTCTGCTGTGGGGTTGCTGAAAGTTGAAGAACAACAAGTGCCAATTGCGACCACAACAGTGCACCGGCGGCAATATCGCACCAACCGAGACTCCCTGATTCCCATCCATCAGCTGATCCGTAGACTGGAGAGTCAGGGGGTGATCAGCAGGACCCGCTCACCCTTCAATAGCCCCATATGGCCAGTGCGAAAGTCTAATGGAGAATGGAGACTAACAGTAGACTATCGTGGCCTGAATGAAGTCACACCACCATTGAGTGCTGCCGTACCGGACATGCTAGAACTTCAGTATGAACTAGAGTCAAAAGCAGCCAAGTGGTATGCCACGATTGATATTGCCAATGCATTTTTCTCCATTCCTTTGGCAGCAGAGTGCAGGCCACAGTTTGCTTTTACTTGGAGGGGTGTCCAGTTCACTTGGAACCGACTGCCCCAGGGGTGGAAACACAGCCCTACCATTTGCCATGGACTGATCCAGACTGCACTGGAACAGGGGCAAGCTCCAGAACACCTGCAATACATTGATGACATTATTGTGTGGGGCGATACAGCGGAAAAGTCTTTGAGAAAGGGAGGAAAATAATCCAAATCCTGCTGAAAGCCGGTTTTGCCATAAAACGGAGTAAGGTCAAGGGACCTGCACAGGAGATTCAATTTTTGGGAATAAAATGGCAAGATGGACGTAGACAGATCCCCACAGATGTGATCAACAAGATAACAGCAATGTCTCCACCAACTAATAAGAAAGAAACGCAAGCTTTCTTGGGTGCAGTGGGGTTCTGGAGAATGCACATCCCAAATTACAGTTCGATTGTAAGCCCTCTCTATCATGTGACCCGGAAGAAGAATGATTTTAAATGGGGCCCTGAGCAGCAACAAGCCTTTGAGCAAATTAAACGCGAGATAGTTCATGCAGTAGCCCTTGGACCTGTCCGGACCGGGCCAGATGTAAAAAAATGTGCTGTACACTGCAGCTGGGGAGAACGGTCCTACCTGGAGCCTCTGGCAGAAAGCTCCAGGGGAGACTCGAGGTCGACCCCTCGGCTTTTGGAGTCGGGGATACAAAGGATCTGAGGCCAGCTATACCCCAACTGAGAAAGAGATACTGGCAGCCTATGAAGGGGTTCGAGCTGCTTCGGAAGTGATTGGCACTGAAGCACAGCTCCTCCTGGCACCCCGGCTGCCCGTGCTGGGCTGGATGTTCAAAGGCAGGGTCTCCTCTACACATCATGCAACTGATGCTACATGGAGTAAATGGGCTGCACTAATTACACAACGAACTCGAATAGGAAATCCCAGTCGTCCAGGCATTCTAGAAGTCATCATGGACTGGCCAGAGGGCAAAGATTTCGGAATGTCACCAGAGGAGGAGGTGGTGCGTGCTGAAGAGGCCCCACCATATAATAAACTGTCAGAAAGTGAAAAGCAGTATGCCTTGTTTACTGATGGCCCGGCTAGCTCAGTCGGTAGAGCATGAGACTCTTAATCTCAGGGTCGTGGGTTCGAGCCCCACGTTGGGCGCCAAAAAAGAACTGTCGTGGTTTAAACCCAGTCAGGTAACTTGTTCACTCACTCCCAGTGAGTGGTGCCGAGCTGACAACAATCAAGGTCCGTGTTCGTCTCCCCCCCCTCCCTGCACCGGGGCTCTCCCCTTCCCCGCTCCCGGAGGAACGGGGAGGAGGATCGAGAGAGTGCAACTCCTACGGGTTGAGACAAGAACAGTCCAGCAACAAATCACCACCGCTACTATCAGCTAAAACAATGATAAGGGAAAATAACAAGGGAAGAGAATACGATACCACCGGCCAAGAAAACGAGTTCCACCCGGAAGCTCCTGTCCTTCCGGGTAACTCCCAGTTACCCCCCACCCCGGGCATGACGTGCTGTGGTATGGAATACCTCCCCGGCTAGCCCGGGTCAGGCGCCCCGCCTCTGCTTCCTCACAGCCTCCCCTCTTCCGTGGCAGAGCATGAGCCTCACAGAGTCCTTGGTCAGGGTAAACATCACTTAGCAACAACCGACAACATCGGCTTCACCAACGCTGTTCTCAAAACTAGAAGTCAAAACACAGCACTGCACCAGTTAACACAAAGGAAAAAACATGATTGCTACTGCTGAACCCAGGACAAGCATATAAAATAATAATGAAATAAAATTTCATGGTTAAAAAAAAATAATCATGGTTTCATTGCTCGTTACAAGCTTTAAAAACAGGAGGTGAGAGCAGATGTTTGCAGGAGCATCATTTCATCAGGGACCTTCTGTGCTTTACAGCCCACCTGAGGTCTATGGACCACAGGCTGTGAAACATTGATTAGATGATACTTTGAGGCATTTTACAACCCTCTGCCTATAAGCATGAATGTAATATTCATAAACCCCCCTGTTTTACATAATCACAACTAGAAAAAAGTAAAAGCTAGCAGATGACCCAAATCGAGGATGACCCTCTGCCATTATTTCTAGTACAGCCAGTTCTTAGTCATTTTTCACTCTCTTGTCTTCCTCCTGAGCTCTTAATTGCAGGTGAAGAAAATATAGAAAATGCAGTCCAGTCTGAGTCCAAAAGAAATCCATCATGCTGCTTAATTGCAGAGATTAATGAAGCAAAACAATTATTGCTGTTAGAAGGCCAGGGAAGGTGTTTGTCTGTGACAAGAGGTTTACACAGGAGAGGTGTGAGTCTATGACCCTGGAGAGAGGAGACAAGGCAAGACTAAAACCAGTCTCGGGACTTTAAAGAAGTCTGATCCCTGCTGTCAGATGTAACTATTCCAGCTCCTTTCAGCCTTACCTTCATTGCAAGGGCAATGAGAGCTCCTTCTGTGGGCTGTCCCATCACACTATTTTTCCTGATAATGGCATTGTTGACTACACAGCCAGCCTAGAGAAAGAGGCATATTTACATGTTTTATCTTTTTCATAACCAATTTCATAGCTTGTCTCTTTAAATGAATAATGAAAATAATGAAAGATTGGAGAATGAAAGCAGCCACATCCCAAAAGATGTGATATTCCTCACAGCAGCATCTCTTGATGTCAGTTCTTGTGCTTTCTAAACCCACTTAAGCAGTAGGATACACCAATATTTGGTAAAATGTTATGTTTTAGATAGAATAATATTAATCAAAACATGATATATGTCTAATGAGCTCAGTAAGTCATGAAAATGAAAACTTAGTTTTTCCCACTATTGCTTTTGATGTGCAGAATGGATAAAATAAACCTAATCTCCATTTAAGATTCCAGCTCAGATCATTTCACTACCCAAACACTCCACTTTAGCCTACAGTTGAATGTGCAAGATTTTACTTATTGCTAACACAAAACCCAGAGACTGCCACAGTGCATTTATAAATTAACTATGTAGCTAGCTAAAACCTAGAATATGCCCACATTAAAAACCTGAATGTGGTAAAATGAATTTGTGTCTCCTTTGCCAGAATTGTCTTTTTATCCAAAATATCATCGACATTTTAAACTGATGACTCCAGTCTCTCCCTGCATGCGTTATGATTACTGCTGTTCATCCATAATATACCATAATTACTCAGAACCTTCCCAAATGCATGCTCCAGCAACACCATTTTCCAGTTACAAATGTGGGTTTTTTTCCTCTCACTCATTAACCAAAGTGATCTATTGCAAATGAAAGTTGAATGTAAATAGGACAAAGGGTTTCACAGTTTATACTTACCTCCACTAGTTTCCCAACTGAGACATTGGAAAATTCTTTAAGAATCTCTTTTGATGGCAGAAGATAAACATTTCCTTCTCCATTGTAGCCCACGCCACTGACCTGAGGAAGGGAGAGACAGAACGAGCAGATTTCCCAGTGCCAAGCAGGACTATACTACATCTGTATACAACAATCTGTATACAGATTGTATACAAAACGTGTTTACAAAAAAATATACTTGAGCAGATTTATGATTTTGAAGGATTCTTTCTGGGATTCTTCTTTCTAGATCAAAGTAATGCATAGAGGAAAGGCTGCAGATAGTGAAAGCATAATATTACAATAGTTGTATAGGAACAGAAAAAAATCAGCTTGTCTTATACAGAACTTGTTTGCTGTGATTTCAGAATTCTCTTGCAGCTCAGCTGAGAGATCCAGCCCTTTGGCAGCAGTGGGTTCACCAGTGTTGCTCAAGCCCAACCCTACTGATGACTGCACTGCCTCTCCGTATTCTGTATGCCTGAAGTTTCGCCTACTTTGCCTGCAGGTAAATGGACCAAGCAGAAGTATCAAGCCACTTGTATAATAAATATTCCTACAGAAGATGGACCCACAAAGGTCAGTGGCAGGTTTCAATATTTACAATAATTGCAGAGAGCAGCAGATTATGTCAATGAACATGTTTGTTTATGGTATCTGAGCAGCTTTTGTACACTCAGCCCCACCTCTGCCTGTCTCCAGTACTGCAAAATGAGAATGGAACTTTCGACGTGCAAGAAGCTGCTTGTTTTGGGGCTGATTAGCATCCCTCACTTGGGCCTAGCTGAATTAAAACCAAACCAGGAAAGCCTGTATTACCATCTTACCCATACCTCTGCCTGGAACCCATCCGAAGTCACAAGCCGTGTCACTGTCATCTCATTGGCAGTCAGAGTGCCTGTCTTATCTGAGCAGATGACATTGCAGCAACCTGATGCAGGAAAGTTTTTAATGAGAACTAATAAGTAATGCAACTGAACAATGAGATTCAGCAGAGGGAGAGTGTGTTTCCCTAAAGGTCCTTAAACTGCACCAGTGGGAAAAGGGAGAAAATACCAAAAAATGGATGTTTCTCAATAAGGTGTTTTAAGGAAAAATCTGAGTGCATGTCATATTGTGCATATAATTGGGATGTGAGATGTGATAGGAGACACCTGAAGAGGGCCACATCGTCTTGAGCATCGTTTGGTGGGCAATCAGAGAAGGCACTCATCTCTGGGGAGTTATCAATATTTTCAAGCAGCAGTATCAGCTACTTGCCTTCTCAGATGGGCCATTTACCCTTGCTTCCCTAAATCAGGAATAACACCCCTTCCTTGTCTCACCAAGGGATTGTGAGGGTAGATGGGTTAAATATTGTCTTAAAAATACTTTAAAGTCCACAGCTAAGAGCAGGAGCTGCCCGACTTGTTCTCTGCTTTGTGACAATCCTGATTCAGTAAAGCATGCTTCTTCCAGGGCCCATTTACACCACAATGCAACAGTTGCCACATTAAGGCTCGTTTCCACTCTCAAGAAGTCAAAAAAATTACTTTAATGCAAAAAAAAAAAAAGAACCAGATTCTAGTTCCCTTCTAAGCCTGAGCACATCCCATGGCTCTGGAGATGACCACATGCATGATGGCCACCAGCTGAAAACCTGGAAGGGATAAAGCAGATTGGGATGCAATTAAATTAACTGCAGTTTAAAGGATTATCTCAGAGCAAAGCTGCCACCTCCAGTATTTCATTTTCAGTTATTGACAACAAAAGAGTCAGATCAAGAAGATTATTTTTCTCCTTTTCAGAGGTTTAACAGGGAGACTGCAGTTTTTGCCATGCTCAGCCTGTCCTGCAGAGCATCAGGCACCTGGCAGTTACGCCTACTTGGGTACAGCCCTACCAGAACAAAATTCTTCATGAGGTAAGAAGCCGTTTCAGATGTCCTGGGTGAGGGCAGATACAATAAAGCAAGGGTGATAAGATTCCTTAACCGCAGAACAAACAAGGGCAGTTCAAACAATAGCAGCATTTCCAAGGAAGACTGGTTTTAGCGGAAGGATCCGGCTGTGCAGCAGGTATTTGCGACTGCATGGGACAGGCTTGGCACTTCGTGTACTTTTTAATGAGTGGTACTAAATACACAGTGTGTCTTCTCCTTCATATAACTGCCATACTGACCAAGGTCAGAGCATCAAAGCCTGGAAAACAGCGGCCTGGGCATAAGGGTCAATTTGAAGATAAAGGCAGGTAGAAGAATAATTTCATTATAGTTCATTCTGCCCTGCTATTGTGAAGATGGGCTGAATGTCTGCTCAAGGTCCTCTCTTTTCTGTGACTGGAGATCAGGGAGATAGCGATATAAGCTGTCACATCCACACAGGCAGAAGGATAAACGGTTCTCTTTATGCCACCAGGCTTGACTTGAGGGGCTGCAAGGTTTTTCATCCAGACAGGATGCATCTGCAGGATGATACCACAGAATGGGGAGAAAGGAGAAACAAAGCCTTTCAATCCAAGCAGGGCATGCATATCCACAGAGGGGCTCTACTCCCCACAGGCTAATGCCGTTGGTTGGGGTGCACTGTCCCTAGTGCCTGCCTGTGTTAATATCACTGAAATAAGGGAAAAGGGTGTGAAACAGAGAACATAAAGTGTATTTAAGTCTGAGTGGGTTGTTCTGGACCAGTAAGCAACACTCCAGATTTATATTCTTATGATCAGACCAAACCTCACTTGGCCAGCCCACTGCTATCCAGCTCAGATTTTGAAGGCTGTCAGGTGACCAAGCTGCATGCCCTGTCTTACAGCCTTACCTAAGGTTTCTACTATGGGAAGCTTCTTCACAATCACCCTTTTCTTGGCCATCCGGAGAACGCCGAGCACCAGTGTGACGGTGACCACGATGGGGAGGCCCTCTGGGATGGCAGCCACTGCCAGGCTGTAGATGGCAGAGACACAACAGCTTCAACACAGGGGTCACACCAAGTACCAACCAAAATGTGCCAAAGGGACATTCCATGGGGTGAGTTCTGCTTGTATTTGTGTACCTGAATGGGAGCGTGCAGTGCTAACAACTGGGACTCCCCACGCTATGACATTGACAACCCTTCGACATTTTCTTGGATATTTTTGACAAAACAATAGCTTTTCTTCTTTACATTGCCAAAGAGCTTTAATTTCTGTCTAATTAGTGATTTATGGGTTGGATTTAATTTCATTTATTTAACTTTTTGAGGATGGAAGTTGAATGTTTTTTGGCATCACAGCTCATACGTTAGCTATTGGCTCCTGGCCACCTACAGTCCCTCATCTCCTCTCTTACATGTGGATACAGGCACAGGACAGAATCACACTGCATACGCTAAATCAAAGCAACATCAAAACCTGCAACACCTGACATGCTAAAAGAATCCAGATTACCTCTATCTATCTGTCCTTTAGTTATCTCTTGTGTAACTCTCAACACTTCTAGGTATGTGCAGAAAGTGATCGAGGAAGGCTTTCAAAACCACAGGCGGCTCTCCAAAACTCAGGTGCAACCACTTTGCCAGCACATCCCACAAGGATACAGGAAGGAGAGCAGTGAGCCAGTTTGGCTTCTCTGTTGTCTCCTCATTTGTGGTTTTGGTTTTATGTCCACAGAATACATTAAAGGAACAATTTTAGAGCCATGACAACACCAAACAACAGGTTTTATGACTACTACTAAAAATACATGATTTATTATGTTTGACTAAGAGGTTGTGCTTTCTATGCTGTATAAAATGTTCATTCTTATCTTGAGACGTAAATCCAGAAAGAAGAGCAATGTTTGCTGTTGCTACACTCCCACTAAATTCTTTAGCATAGATAGGAAAGGACATTCACAGTGGGATGAGGTAGAAATGCCAGTGAAGATTTTAAAAATTAAATAAACCTTAAACTTGTTCTTCTTTTAATCCCAAACTCTGTTGTAAAACTCACTTTAATTTCACCAGTGCAAGACCAATATATATTTATGAAGGGTCTTTCTCAAGTTCTCTTTTGTGAAATGACCATTGTTTTGAACAGGGAATTTCCTGGGACATGTTTCATTAGAAATCAAAGGGAAAGGTACTCTCCAGTCCTCACCTAACTCCAATTGTGAACATGCCAAGGAGATGCTTCCCTTGTAACCAGCCAATGAGCATTATTAAACCTGATGGGGAAAAAACAGGTGATTAAAATACTTCAAGAAATTAATAAATCTCTAACCTGCTTTAGCTGTTATTGGAGAACTGAGCATGCAATGAGTTCCCCAAATCTCTCCTGCAGAGGTGCCTCTGCTTCAACCCCAAAAGTCCAAGTAAACCACTTCAACAGGTACTTTTGGAAGAATGGCTGGAGCAGAGAGATCCTTTATGGCTGACCATGCAAGTGTGAGCATTGTGTCCAACTCACCGATTATACCAAAGGAGAAGAGAGTGAGCTGCTTCCCCAGTCTGTCCATGCTCTTCTGGAGAGGTGTTTTGGGAGTCTGGAAACATTAGAGAATAGCTGCTTTTCTTTGCTTGTTATGTGAGATGAGATGATGGTCAGCCCAGAACAACTGACCCACACAGTAGGTCCCTACAGCTGCCTCATATAGCCTGGTTCTTACCTACCCCAAACCCTCAACAAAGGCTGATGAGCATTGACCCTAGCACAGGGAGAGAGTCTCTGCCTTAATGCACTCAAGATGGGCAAAACAGTGAGAGAAGAGACAAACTATATTTGTTTACAGCTGGGGAGCCAAGGAAGAGGCAAAACAAGGGCTAAATCTGGAAAAGGCCTTAGTGATTGAGTCCAGCACTGGGTAATGCATGTTTGACATGTGTAAAAGTGAAAAAAAAAAAAATATACCTCCTGGAAAGTATGTGTGTGTGAAATAAAGAAGAAGAAACCATGAGGTTTAGGTGACTACAAGGTTAGATTCCAGCTAAATATCACATGTCTGGATTTAGAAGCCTAAATCCTGCTTATAAACATTTCTGGATACAGCAGTTTGGTTTCCCTCAGTGACACAGTCATTTTGTAGCAGAAACAAAAATTGAGTGAATTAATTCTTGGGACCACTCCTGCTCACAAACTTTCATTCAGGACACCCACCATTTCCACACACACATTTCTTTACCTCTTCAGCTTGCATCATTTTGAACACCTCTCCAAACTGTGAATTTTCACCAGTCCCAATAACTACACCCTAAAAAAAAAGGAAGGGGGGGGGGGAAGAGAGATGGAGATGAAAAATCTAAAGATTTTGTAACAAACATTGAGGAAAAGATCAGAGATGACAGGACTCACTTTTCCCTTCCCGTATCGCACCAATGTCCCCATGAAAACAACATTGCTCAGCGTGGTTATGTCTCCAGCTTCCATTAATACACTGTCAGTCTTGTTACAAGGCTCAGCTTCTCCAGTAAAACTGGATTCATCTACCAGCAGATCTGTAACCTAAAAAGACACGTTTCTGGCACTGTTAACACAAGCAATTGCCAAAGCAGGCTCTTGTATGCATAGCTGTATTTACCTCTATCAGCCTGAGGTCTGCAGGAACCCTGTCGCCAACAGACAGATAAATGATATCTCCAGGCACAAGCTCTCTTGCTAGAAGGTGCTGCAGTTTCCCTTCCCTTAGGCTACACGAGACAAATGGAAAAAGAAGAATGGAAACCAGGCTGTGAGGTTTTTCATTCCTTCTCAGGCTTGGGAATGCAACTGGCAAGACAGCAAGAACGCTGCCCCAAAGAGCTTCCAATATAAAAAGAACATAAAACCTTTGGAAAGATCAGAGCTGATTGTGTTCAGTTTGGGCTCATAAATAACAGATGGGCAGGTTATGGAAGACTTGCATTTCAGCAATAAGTGGCTTGAACATGTCTTATACCATAGGAATGACATGGCTCATGCTTTAAATGATGAAATGCTGATTCTTTAACTGAAAAAGATGCTCTTTAAAGCTAGAACTACCTCTGACATTTCACTATTGTATTAAAAGCACAGACTTTTAAGTGGTTAAATTCTTATAGTGTCATATCATAAAGAAAGAAGGAACATACAGTGATGTTTATAAAATCCAAACCTGAGTGAACTTTGGACCAGAAGAGAGCCCCATTGCTCTTTTGCAATGCAAAGTTTCTCTGAGCCTTACAGCTTATGCATATTGTCCATGACATGTCTTGTGCAGAGGCATAAACAGGAAAAGTGTTTCCTGTAACCTACAAACACCAAAGCAGTGTAGAAAGTGGTGTCTGATAGACCCTACAGCTGCTCCCCAAACTAGGGGAGGCACACAGGAGGCTGCAGGGACCCTTGTGAGGGACGTTGCTGAGACCTCTCTGTCTCCCAGCATTTATTCAGCTCCTCTGGGTGCCTACTTTAACAACCAGAGTTTACATCCACTTCTGCTGTGACTCAGAGCTGCACCCACACACGGTGCCACCACCAGAGAACAGGTTCTCCTTGTGTGAATGACAACCTGGAGTACCTTTGTTCTCTGGTCAGTTCTGCGCTCATAACCCAAACCCTGTTAGCACCCACTGAAGCAGGCATGACTCACCAGTTGCACTCAGGGGGCACCAACTTGTTAAGTTCTTCCAGAGATTTTTCCGAGCGATATTCCTTTTAAACAAGAAAGCAGAAAGCCAAGTTACATGAGAGGGCTCACTCATGACAGTCCTGGCCATGGAGAAGAGGCTAACGTACCTGGATGAAGGCCACGGTGACCACGATGAGCACTGCCTGTGAACAAAGAGGCATTACAGGATGGACACACCAGCTCCAGAGAGCCAAGGGTTGGGGTGCAGGAGAAGTACCACGTACCATGGTGATGCTCGCAGCATCCTCGTATTCTTTTGTGATGACACTTACTAAAGCAGAAGCCAGCAACAAGAGAATGAGGGGATTTTTAAACTGAAAGAAAAGGAAAAAATGCAATATAAAATTAAATATGGAGCTGTTGAAGCTGAGCTGGCCTCAGATCTCATTGGAGAGGATTAAAGTGGTTTGGTTGCACGGACCCTCCTTGCTTGTGCCAGCAGCCTCTGCCTGAACAGAGAGGGTGCAGCACCTGTACTCAGGCTGATGCTCGATCATGCCCCTGTACAGAAGATGAATGGCATCAGAGACCAGCAGGTCAAGGCTCACATCAAAAGATGCAAGTTTTCTCTCTTTTCCCCTGCTTCCACAGGCAAGCCTTACCTCTGCAGCTGTACAGTACAGGGCTGACTCTAAGAGCTGCTTGGAGGCATGATAGGGACAAACAAAATCTTTATTGTCTTCTTAGAATATGAAACCAGAAATCCTTTCTTTTATTTCTCTCCTTCCCTCCCCCTGAGTTAATCCTCTAAACTCCATACTGGTCCCAGGGCTGTGGGAGTCAGATCCTCACTGTTTTCACTTTGAAGCACAGATAGTAAGGATCTTTCTCCTACCTGCTCCTTAGCTTCGTTTAGCTAATGTGGGAATTGGCATAAGGGAATTAAGTCAGGCAAAGACGAGACTATCTCTTTTAGCTAACAGATGTGTGGTGATTCATGGTAGGAAAGCCATGGTTTAAGTTTATTCCATGATGAAGACAAAGGTGAAAGTCCCTTCATTTTTCTTTAGCAACACTGCACAAAAGGGGACGTTTTACAGAAACAGCAGCCGAAAGAAGCCCTGTCAAGTGTCTGCTGAGGAATGATGCTCAAAGGCAGAGGTGTGAATGGTGTGGGACTGCAAAGAAGCTCTTCCAGAGAGACCAACAGGCTGTGAAAGGATTAGAGATACACCAGAGAGTTTATGTTGTTTCACCATAGAAGAAAGAGCTTGTTAAGGAAGAGCAGAAAAAAACCCCACCATCTCACTTCTTATGCTCGAAGAGGTTTAGAGATGATTGCAAAGTGCTTGAAGAATATTGATCACATAGGAAAAAAGGGGATATCCCATGAAATAAAAATCAAGCCTTTCAAAGCAACCAAAATCTTCACGATCCAGCTAAGCAAGAAGAAAATGAGTCAAGTTGATGGTTGAAAATAAGCAAACAAAATAAAAGACCCTTCTGTTTTGGTAAATAAGAGTTACATTCAATACTGGTAAGGAACAGTTAACAAAAGCAAAACTCATGGATAAGTCAGCTGCGGAAAAACAGGACAGGAAATATCACATTGTGCTTGGCCTTTTGGGGCAGCTGGTTTGAAACTGTGGTTCTCCACTGCGCATGGCACCATGCATGGATGTATCTGTTACTGATGCATTGCTCCTAGAGGCGCTAACACCCACCTGAGCTCTCTACTTGTCCCTGCTTTTGCTGGGAGTTTTGGGCTTTCCATCACTGGGGTAACAGAGTGGCTTTCAGCTACTACTGATTTTCCTCAAGCCTTTCATAGACTTACAGTTTGGGTTGTAAAGGACCTTAAGATCATTCAGTTCCAACCCCATCGCCATGGTCAGGGGCACCTCACCCTAGACCATGGTGCCCAACCCTTCATGATTTTATCATGTACTTTAAAGGGAATAAGAACGGTCCAGAAATCAGGTAATTGCTTTAGAGCTTTTGATTTGTGGGCTGTGTGAAGATAAAAAGGTTTCTTCTTATTTTAAGATGTTATCTTTGTATTAAATGGCCCTCCATCTGAGTCTTACAATGGCTTTCCCTGGGGGAATGGACAGCTTCTGTACCAGGGGCACAGCCTGTTCCAAGGCTAAATCTGTGGAAGCAGAAACCCTGCATACTTCAATGCAGAGACACGCTCAGGCTAATCCAGAGAGGGGTCTTTGTCAGGAAATGAGGATCTGTGCAGAAAATCCTTACCTGGTCCAGATACTTCTTCCATATCGGCTCTGTATTTTCTACTGAAAACTCATTCCAACCATGCTTTAACCTGCGCTGCAGCACAGAACACTCAGAGAGTCCAGTTTGCAAATCAACCTGTAGGGAAAATAAAACAACCAAACATTGCATATTATAGAATAGACATAGGAAGCTTCTTAAGGCAAAGTTATGTTTAGAACCTGTAAGTAAGGTAGGTAAGGTGCTCATGGCTCAGTAACACCCCAAAAATTAAACTATCCATTGCTTTTCAGTTCAGGTATTTATTTTTTGTTAAAATCTTTACCATCAGCCATCACAAAAAAATAACATAAACACAAGTTAATAATTCAAGAAAGAAAAAAAATCCCATAAGTGAGAATCCATATCGTAGACAAGAAAAACCTAAAATAGTAAAGAACTGATTTCCAGTTTCATTGTACATTTAAAGCAAAAATAGCAATAAAAATACCCTGACAAAATTCAAGGAGAACAAATGGAGAAAGGATAAGGTCTATTTTGCCTGGATTTTAAAAAATAGCAAGGTCAGGCACCAAAATATCACTAATCATTATAGCTTTCCCTCATAATTCAAGCTGTTAAAGGCCTTTCAATGAAAAGCCTTTGAGAAATCATTTAGGACAATAAATATGATGAGTTTTGCCTCTGAAATAAAACCTGCTATGAAATAAAGGGGAAAAGGGCTACATTTACACAACACTTTTGGGACCTGCTGGTAACTGGAGTGTCTGAGCTCTGCAGCCTGTACCCAGGGATCCTCTACCAGTGCTTTGTTATCCAGGCTGGACAATTGAACTCTTTTCCCTTCAGCTCACAGAGCCATTCACTGCAATGAAATCCTTCTCTGGGACAAAGTTCTGTACCCAGAGCTAAGCTTCCAACACAGCCAACGTGAGGATTCATCCCAGGTAAAGGCAGAGGGACTGGGCACTCCAGCAGTGAAACCAAAGACCAGTCCTGCTGCTCAGATGACACAGACTGAGCTGCTATGTTCACAAAGAGCCAATAACCCCCTTACATTTAAAGCTTTAGCCAAGTCTTCTTTATGGCACTTGCATGCGTCTTTCGGAGGCAGAACTGCCACCTCCTTCTCCTGCTCAATTATTTTCAGCTCACACTCCTCATGGGTCTGAATAAACGAGATAAAGCAATTGTTAGGTGAGAGCACAGTCAATGAAAACGTTTTAGCATCTCTTTGCTTCTTCTCTTAATCCCATTCCTTTCCCACACCTTGCCAGCTGTGTGATTTCACAGTCAGCTAAAACACGTCCTAAACCACAGCACTTTATACCGTTCACTAATTAATCCTTATTACAGCCTCAAAGCCATGTGCACAATCCTGTAGTGGAAGAAAGGCTGTAAGGAGCTGATTACCAAAAAGAAAAGCACACACCACTGCCATGGTCAGAAAGTGTGCTGAGCTCTGCTGGCATCTGCTTAAAATGGGCATTTTTCCATGCCAGTGTCTCACAGCCCGATGCTCAGAGCACAAAAAAACCCAAACCTTTTTCACAGGATAAATGAACAGAAAAAGTGAGCAGAAAGATCTCTGAGACAGAAAAAGCAAGTCCCCTCTCCCATCTCCATCGTTTTCCTCCTGCTGCGAACACCTGTGAACAGGACAAACCCTTCCTGCCCCATCCAGGCAGCCCAAGGGCTGTGCCTTGCTCCCCGTACCCTGTCGTAGAATCATAGAATGGTTTGGGTTGGAAAGGAGCTTAAGATCATCCAGTTCCAATCCCCCTGCCATGGGCAGGGACACCTCACACTAAACCATGTCACCCAAGGCTCTGTCCAACCTGGCCTTGAACACCACCAGGGATGGAGCATTCACAATTTCCTTGGGCAACCCATTCCAGTGCCTCACCACCCTCACTGTCCACTCTTAGCTTTTGAGATCCCTTGTCTCCTTTTCCAAACTGCTCTTCCCAGACCAGCGGCATCCCCTGAAATCTCAGCCAGGCACTAGAATGGAGGCAAGGTGACCACTATGGCAGAGTAAGAAGGAGAAATCTCACCCTTTCCAAGGGACAGGAAAATCCATTTCCATTTACCTTCATTCCGAAAGCACAAGAGAGTGTGTTCATTAAGAAAAGGATCTCAAGAGCACTTAGTTCTCACCCCCCAGCAGAGTTCAACTCTGCCACATGGGAGGAATTTGGCACCAGCTACCAGCACCCTGGGGTGTTTGCTGAGGAAAGCATTCAGATAGCTCATCAGCACCTGAGCAAGGGTTTGGAGGACTTCAGAAGTGCCTGAAGTGCTATTTGGAAACTTAGCCTGTCTCTGAATATTCAGGAAGTTTCCAGAAGCATCCAGTGTTTTGCAATCTAAAACTGGGGATAAATGAAGAAAACCTCTTTGGATGTTTTCTTATGCTGGTACCTGTAATTGATTTTTGTCTGGTGCCTTCTGGAGAGCTTGTAGTATATGAGATATGAGTATCTCCAAGCCCTGCTTCTTAAAAGGGCTTTTGCTACTTCCATATGTTGCAGCCCTCTTTTCATTGCTGTTTGCTAGTCCACAGCATAGCTGCTAACGCTGCTAACATGTGTGATACCAGCACCACCCCACTGCCAGCAGAAAGACAAGAGTTTTCTGTGCTCCCTTGGTCTCATTGAGGAGCCATTTTGCCAGGGAAGAACCTGCCCTTCCAAATCCCAGCCTTATGTCCAAGACTTCCAAGGATTTTCCTGCTTCCCTCACACTGGTGACCACGTTTCTCCCACAGAAGCTGCAGTATTTCTGCGCTGTTTTGAAGCACACTACCTCCAGACACCACCATTATTTCAATGTTTCCTTAACAGACATCCCTAGAAGGGACGAAAAAAGCCCCTCCATGCTTAAAACTGATGATTTACTCCTACTTGTATGTCCTACTTGTGCAAATTCATTAGTTCCCCATAACTTTGACACCCAGATGCTGCAAGAATGAGAGCCAATCATGAACGTAAGGAGATGGAAGGACTTGCTGGGAAGGAAAACATATGGCTGTCACATACAGACACACACCTTGCACTCATTACTGTGTTGATTTGATTAGCACAGCTTTTACAGCCTCCTCTGTGCTGCTGGTGACACATGCAGGTGTCAAGGTGCAGCCTTGCTTGAAGGAGTTGAAATTGTAATTAAAGGAGCTGGAGGATAGCAAAAGGCCCAGGCATAACAGCAACATGCCTGCAGTGCCCTGGAGCCAGTGGGGAAAGCCAGGGGCCAGCTCTATCACTGCTGTTTACCTTCCCAAAGGCGTGGAGGAAATGAATGACAAAAGCATATTGGATGTGCTGGGCCATAAGCAGCCAGTGCTGACTGTGGATTGAGAGGAGTGCTGACATCTCTGTGCTCCTTACAGCCAGGGGCTGCTGTGAAATGAACAGCTTTATTGGCACTCATTAATTTGCATTGATTAGCTTATGCCTGTGATTTCCCCCTGACGAATGTGTTCAGATGAACAGCTTTAGTGATGCACAAGCTGGAAATGCAGCAGGGGAGCATCATCTCCCTCCTGCTCTACAAAGTGCTGCTGGTGCAGACCCTTTTTGCCCCTAAACACATCCCATCCCATGTCTGTTAGGCATCAGGCAGTGCCCTGAGCAAACCTCTTCTTAACATAACCTCTCCTTGTTAATTGCTTTCTGTTTACACTATAGAACAGATGTGGGCTGTCAACATTCTCAATTTACACTTTTAACCTTCCTCCATTGGGCATAACTCAAGCACAAGAGCTCACAACTCCATACAGCAGGGCAGGAAGAAGTAAAATAAACTGAATTATTAGTTTACCTATTGCTCTGCAAGAGCAGGTGGTATTGGAGGGTGTAGAGAGCAGCTGCTTGTGTCTGGGAGCAGGCTCAGTGCTACCAATACCTGCACCAGTGCCTTTGCATCCCTCATCCTGAAACAATCCATCAATTGTCCCACCAAGCAGCCCATGTGGGAAGGAAGAATGCATGGGGCTTTCTGCAGAATACATAGCTCTTTTTGTATACCCTGGCAAGCAGCCCAACAGATCAGTGCTTGGGATATCCCCCCACCTCTGACTTTACTGAGGTCTTGCAGATTCTTCCCCCCCCGTCTTAGATTACTTTGGAGCATCTGATGTATTGCAATCTGGTATTGAGTGGGCTGGGTTACTTAAACCGACAAGAAGCCTTTAAAAATGTTAAATAGAATCATTTTTCCTGTATATTCCTCATCCTTGCTAAAAACCCCTGAAATATAATAAATCAAACAATTCCCTCAAAAGCCCCTTTGCCTTGCTGTACTTGGTGCTCGGGGCAGGCAACAGACTGCATTTCAGGGGTGCAGGCAGCATTCAGAAACAAACCCAGAGCAAACCACAGCCCTGCAAATGAGGGGCTGCCTCACTGGGCTCCCTTATATGATCCCCCAGCCATTTCCTACCCACGACCATGGTTTCAGCTCCTCTCATACAGTTTCCTCATCCCCATCTCACATCTATTGCAGCATTGAAGCTTTTTAACTTGAAATGCAGTCCCTGGTCCCCTGCTTGCAGATAAAAGCCTCAAAACAGACTTTTTAATACTTAAAAAAAAATAAGGGTTTTTCAAAAAAGCTGCTTTTAAACTATTCCCTGCATTTTAAGTCACACCGAGGGTACTGGAGGGCTGAGTCAGGCTGTGTGGGCAGTGCACAGACCTTGGGAGCAAGGTCCCAGATGCAAATCCCACTCCCTTCACCACCTCTGCTCTGTTCCTCTGGCTCAAACACGACCTTTTTCTTCTCCCCTCCTAATTAAAGGAAAAATAATCTTCAAGCTCCCTTTAACCTTAAAGCAAACCCCCTTGAGCTGAATGATGGCATTGTCATCGCTGCAGGAAAGCCCATAGCCAACAGTGATTCCAACTGAGGAACCTCCTCACTCACCCAAACAAGTGCCACCCAGGCCAAAACCAAGCCCCAGTTAAATCAACTTTATATATAGGTTCTCTTGGGAAGAGGGTGCTGCAGCCCTCAGCCTGGAAACCTGTCGATGTTGGAGGAAAGGGAAAGGGAAGGGAAGGAAAGGGAAAGGAAAGGAAAGGAAAGGAAAGGAAAGGAAAGGAAAGGAAAGGAAAGGAAAAAGAGAAAGGGGAAAAGAGAAACTGGAGAGGGGAAAGGGAAAAGAGGGAGGAGGAGAGGAGAGGAGAGGAGAGGAGAGGAGAGGAGAGGAGAGGAGAGGAGAGGAGAGGAGAGGAGAGGAGAGGAGAGGAGAGGAGAGGAGAGGAGAGGAGAGGAGAGGAGAGGAGAGGAGAAAGTCTGTCAGTGCTGCACAGAGGCAATCCAATGCCATTCCTTTTTTCACCTGGAAGGCAAGTTGCACTCTTTAGTCTAAGGACATATTGAAAAAATAGGTACCTGCAGGATAACAAAACTATTCTGATAAGGATGGTCCACGTATTCAGGAGGATATGGAGCCTGTGAAAGTCTCCAGGAGATAAATGATCATTGGTATGAAGCCTGAAATGGAAAAAAGCCTCAACCTAAACTGGAATAGTAATTTTTTTAGGACAGAACAGGGAAATACCTGAACTCCATCCTGCGGCTGCTGAACCTTGAATGCGTTGTGGGGGAAAGGATCCAAAAGGGTTTTGGTGAGGAGAAATGGAATAATTGCAAAGGAAAAGTCCTGACAGCTCTGAAGAAACTCTGAGTAAAACTGTAATGCACTAAAATCTACTGCCCAGATGTGCCTGGGGTAGGAGCCAGCTCTTTCTAAAGCTAACAACAGAAAAAGCCCCTAAATCACAGCAGGTCTCTTCTGGGTTGGCAGAAGATCTCCATGATGAATTCTTCTCATACTGGCACCATGTGTGGCAACGGAGGCCATCCCATAGTATGAAAATGGATGAATTGCCATGGATGGTGTGACAAAACCCAACAGCTCATCAGGTTAAAACCTATTGGGAGAGGAGGGTTGCAACCCTCAGGAAATCTGCCTTTGATGGTACCCACTGGGTCCACTGAATACTAGGGGGTGAACTTGGTGCATGGTCAAAAGGAAGAGGTGATGTGGTCTCTGTGATGCATAGGTTCTTCTCTCTTTCAAACACACATGCACACACATGTATATGTGCACACATATGTGAACATGCACACACATTCTTGGATGCACAGAAGGAAAATCTTTGGCTGTTCTTCAGATTTCTGCAGGAAAAACACGATTCTCACAAACTGTGAGCTGGCACCACAAAACTTCCCTGTTATTCTGGATGGGCTGCTGTAGAAAAGGAGTTGAAACTGAATACAGCAGAGTCTAGACACAAGCTGTACTTGTGCTTCAGTGTGAAAGTTAACTGTTCTGCCACCTCCAGATAGCAGCAGCACCTTGCAGCTATCAGCACTGGGGCTTTTCCTTCACAACCCACAATTGGTGTCTTTTTCCTGGCTTCAGTTCCATTAGGTGACATGGACTCACATCTTTAACACCAAAACATCCCATACTCAGAATGGAGTAGACAACAATTCAAGAAGGGTTCGTATTTGGAATTAAATATGTATCATTATTTATTGTGCTTCAACAGAAGTGGTATTGACAAAGAACAAGGCAGACTAATTGCTGGTGGCCTCCTGCCTATCAGAAATCTCAGCTTCCCATCAAAACGAGATTAGATACCTTCTGCAACCTCATCAAGCTCTTCCTTTCCTGGTATTCTGAGCTATGTATGAATAGCTCAGAGCAGCATTGCACAATGTGCTGTGTGGTGCACACGGTAAGGCTTCAATGCCCTTCTCCCTGTAGCACTGTCCAACCCCCATACTGGAAAGATGAGACTCAGAAAAGAGCAGAGGATTAGCTGAAATGCCATCTGAGAAAACGCCTCAGTCATGGAAAAGAGCACAAATATCTATGAGTGTGTGGATGGTGCTTGTTGGGATGGGGACTAAGGGCTAACCCCACATGCTGAAGGAATTGTGTTTACATGGGAGGGCACTCAACCAATCTCTCATGTGAGAGAAAACCCAGGGCTTAAGCAACAGAAACCCCTGTGCTGAGCAAAGGTGGTAACAAAAATCCCATAGCTGAACGTTTTGGGGTGAAAAAGCAAGGAGAACGGCAACTGTGCCACCTAAAAACCACTGTCCACCCCTTGGTCCGTCTGCACCGAGGAGAGGTAGTGAAAGCAGGGAGGGGGAAGTGAATGTTCACACACCAGCACTTCTCAAGGAGCCAAAGTGTTATTTTGAGGTGGGCTCTGCAGGTCTTCCCAGCCATTCATTACAGTAACGACTGCACAGACCACACCGAAGGCAGCCCGAGGGGTCACATCCCCTGTGGTACCCCTGGAGGTGGGATCAGCCTTGCTCTCCATCTACTCTTCTGCTGAGACAGCATTTGTGCTTGGCACCAGCACTCCCGAAACCCTCCCACAGCTCCCACGAGCCGCATGGCAGTCGCTCTCCTACGTGTTCTGCTCATTTTGAAACTCCTCGGTGCACAGGACAACATTCCTGAGCAAACCCTGGCCTGAGCTGTCTGTCCTGGGAGTATCCCTTAGGAACAACAATCCCCATCTCACCCCATTGCCCGGTAAACATTATCAATCACATCCCTCATCGTACAGGGGACGGGGCAGAGAGCAGCAGCAGCACTCTCAAGTTACCGGTGGGACAAAGCAGACTAAGTAGACAGAATTAACCCCAACCACACAAAGCTATTCAGCAGGTCCAGGCAAGAGGCACAGCCAATCCTCACCTCCTCCTCCTCCTCCGGCTCGCCGCTTCCAAGGGGCTGATATTTCTGTGCAAGGTGGAAAAACAGCTTCTTCTGGAGGAGTTTGGTGAAACCTCCTTCTACCATCTTCACAGCGCAGCGGTGGGACAGTGCCACCCGCCGCCGGCAGCACTGGCTCTGGTTCCCCTGCCAGCACAGGGCTCTGGTCACAGGCAGGGAGAGGAGGCAGGTTTACCTGCTGCCAAGTCACGCCTTCGGCCGCAGGTGCCGGCGGGAGGCTGCGCACCCTTCGGCAGCGATGCAGGGTGCTTCGCCCATCCAACCCTGCCAGGAGCTGTGTTTGACACCGTGGCTGGTACAGGAGTGAGGTGTCCCTATGCGGCACCCGGATTGAGGGCTTGCAGCTCTGTGTTTTCCTCCCCACCCTCTGAAGAAGAGATGCGGGAGGTGCCCCAGCACAGAAGACAGATAGGAGGGAGGGTGTTTTGCCAAGGCCACTGCGTGCAGAGGCAGGACAGGTTGCGCACACTGCAGAGCCTGTTTGTAAATCCTCCTTGAGAAATGCTCCAGTCAGCACAACGCTGGTATTTAGAAGTATTTACATCAGGGAGAGGGTAAAATGTATGAATTGGTGGTGATCATTTATAAACCCCACGCTTCATTCACCAGAGGGGAGCTCTTCCATGGTGAATCTCAGTATGCAACTAAAGTTTGCAGTGACATCCTTTCTGAAGATGTATAGCTGCCTCTTTGGGAGCACTGTGCTCCGGTTTGCACCGGGACACCTACATCCTCCCACAGGCATCATGACTGCGGGATTCACTGAGGCTTAAATTGTCTCTAAGGTGTAAATTATGAGATTAAGGTCCTCCTTAGACTGTAAAAGCTGCATTAAGGGAATTAAATGTAATTCCCAGTCAGAAAACAACAATTCTCTGCAGGGGAACAATTTTCTCATAGGACACCCAGGTGCCAGCTTCACAGCTCTGGAGATGGGGAGGTGACATCTGGACCATGATGGGACCACTCATGTATGGGACAGCCCATGATACCCAGAACCTGGCCAGCTTCCATCAAATGTGGAGCATTTCACTGTTTCCTATTTGCATCTCCCAGGTCCCATTGGCTCTAGGGAAAGCTGAAGAGCCCCGTGGGACACCCCACCACCACAATGGAGCTTACAGCTGCAGGTAACACACTGGAGCAGCTTCTTTCCACACTGAGGAGAAAATGAAGCAATAGGGAAACACCCTACAAATATCCAGGCTCTTGTAAAGCACAGCTGGTGCCTCCTAACTCCCTCAGCTCCTGGTTGAGAAATGCTTTCCTAATGACCCCAACTGGATGTGTCAAGCAGATGAGGGAAGTTCCTGCATTGCTGCAACACCCCTCCTTCCCATGGGAAAACACCCAGGGATAATGCAGCTCCCATACAGGCCCTGCTCAGGGCTCAGGGAAGGTGCTCAAAGGCTGCCCAGGCTCCAGGGGTATGGAGAGATTTAGACCTTATCAAAATGTGTGGGAACTCGATGGTAACACATCTCTGAGCTCACAAACGCTTCCCAACTGGTCCCCTCCTTCTGTAACTATTGCAAGGATCTGGAGCACAGCCAGCTGGCTCTGCCCTGGTCTTGATAAGGCAAAGCAGGCACTGCCTGGCAAGGAAATACATTCTTCTGTTCCTCTGAGCGCGTTGGCAGTAGTGATAGCCTTGGGATCTCACTGAATTATAGTTCCCTGACAGAAAAGTGGAGAAAAAATCATCTTCCCCCTCTCTAGGGAGATGGGAAAAAGAATTCCCTTGTTCTTGTTGTTGCTTTTCTCATCCCCAAAACCTCACCCATCAATCCAGGAAATTTTCTTGGTTTATTCATGTTTTTCTCATCCCAAACCCTCTCCCATCATCCAGGAAGCCAGCACATGGCAAAGGTGAGTCCTCCTGGGTCTCTGTGCTGTATGAGGTAGTGCAGCCTCTCTCATACGGGAGGGCATGGCTCTCCCATACAGTTGATTGAGCAACAGGCTCTTGCTGACTCTTTCCTTGTTTAACTTCCTCCTCTTGGCCAAAAGCTGCTACTTGTGGAAACACGTGTATCCCAGTGTGTGTACACAACCAGGGAACAGGATCCAGAATGTCTGCAGTGTGGGCTCATTCACATCTACCTCCCTCCTGGCCTCACACAGGGATGAGGACTGGTGAAGTGAGGGGTTCAACAAAAACACTGAGACAAACGGGACCTAAATGGGAGAAATTTGGGTTGAGGAGCATGTAACACACCATAAGAATCAATGCATTGTGGTTTATTACCCAGCAGCTCCAGAGAAACCGTAGTTTGGGCTCAGGACCTGTCATCTTTCTGTCCATTCAGCCCTATAACGTGAAATTACATTTTAGCACCAATGAAACTGAATAAAGGCAGAAAGGAAATGTAGTTGTTGTGGCTATTTGCCACGCATTCTGAAGAACTGCTGAACAGACTGAAGTTTCATTTTCTTGCTGCTTTGGGGAAAAGCTTGTTAGGCAATCCAATGGAAAATTCATGTATTTTGCTGTCTTGTGGTTCAAAAAATGGTGGGAATAAACTGAATCAAGATTACATTGTAAAGAAAATAACACAGCACTTTCATGGCATTTCCTATTTAATTGGATGAAAAAGTTGCAGCATCAGACTCTAGTTCTAAGTAGGTTATGTGGGAAAACTTTTGTTTTTCTTTTAAATAGCAAATGTGTGTTATGAAAACACATGCGGTACAGCAGCCGTGACTGAGATTGTGTGAGCCCAAAAAGGCTGCTTTCAGTTCAAAACTCACAGCTCCTTTACCTGCTTCCCTCACCATAACCAGGGCTGGCCACACTTTCGTTCCTCTTGTGCCACCTTGAGGGAACAAACCTCTGGTGCATGGGTAGAATTTAATGCTTGCTGCTACCCAAAAATCCCAATATTCTGCTTTCAGGTGGGCTTTTTTCCCCAGGCCTCTGAGCAGAACATCCACTGCCCTGGTTATAGAAACAAAGAGCAAAGATCTGGGCCATGGTTCCTTTCTCTCTTGTCAATGCTACTGACACAGGGTCAACAAAAGCCTTAGGTCTGTCCCTCAATGTGTCACCAGGAAGAAAGGGGGGATTTAGTACAACCTCTTGGTTTCTGGCTTTCTGAGAGACTCACCTGGTGGTGCAGCTCAGGCTGGGTGAAATGAGCCCCAGCATCCACATCTCTGCCTTGGAAACTGACCTTTTGGAACCTTGGAAAAGGTCTTTTTTGTTTTGCACATCTTCTGCCTTGGCTCTTGCTACTGTGTCCTCATAGAAAAGTAATGGAAGGAGAAAGTAAGGGGAAGAAACAGGACTTACCTTTGTAGACTCATCAGCAAAAGTGTCCTTTTCATTTATCTTTAAATGATGACAAATGATGCTGTAAATCCTTTTGCCTTAGACAGACAATTGTTGCTCACCCCACACTGCCTCCAGAGAAAGATCCAGCCTGTGTAGACAAAGTAAGGTGGGACACAACCCCTGTATGAACAAATCCCTGCCATGCAATGGGCAAAGAGAAACTGTCAGTCTCCAAAGGCTCTCCATAGGTTTCTTCAGTGCTTACAAAACAAGGGAAGATCTTCCTGAAGTCAATCAAAATGCTTCCGGACCATAAAACTCAAGGGAACTCTGAACTAAACAGGTCAAAATTAGAGTAATTTATTATTATTATTCTCATATTTACAACTTGGGCAGATTGCTGACCTGCTGGGGTTTTAATATGGACCTCTGGCTCCTTGGAGGTCTCTTATGATGTTTGTCCTCCTGTTGACTCCAGCTGTTGGTTTCAGGGGTGAACCAACGGCACTTCAGTGCCATCTGCAGATGATGTCTTAGGTTACACAGCATTCTTTCCATGGAGACCATAAGCCTATTATTACACCAACAGCAGTTATACTGGCATGCATTAACATGGAAACAAGTTGAGATCCAAGTATAATTTTGTGTTCACCAAATAGATTCTTCTCTTGCAAGCCAAGGTACCCAATCTTACTTATTCTTACCTTACAGCAGGAGGCATGAGTTAAGCACACACATCCTTGACCTCCCCATCCTAACAGTCCATATGACCATTGTCATGAGGAGTTCGAGTGATTCCAAGGCTAACTTAACTGACAGACTGAAGAGCTGCCCTGACACCTAGTGCTAGCCAGTGCCTTCTCACAGCCCATAGAAAACCTTTCCAGAGCAATGAAACCCATAGCTATTCCCTCCTTGGCTCCATCACAGGCAGTTTCACTCTCTGTTGTCAATGCAGGGCAACAGAGAAGCAACGCAGACGGACTCATGCCCACCTCTGATGAGCAGGTAGAGCAAGACCAGTGTGGGTGGAGCTGGTGGGATGATGAAATCTTGTTTGATCCTGGTAAAACAGTGCTCAGCACCCCAACCACTCAGTACCAGGCTCCTCTTTCAGCTCTGGTTTCCTGCAGTGGGCAGCTTGATGACCTCTACTTGGTTTACCTACCCATCCTTGGAGCAGGCCTTGGCCTCCCATAAAACTGCTTGAGATGGCTGCTGAAAGGCAGCCAGCAGTGAACAACAGCTCTGAATCAAGAAGGAAAATGCCTGGTCAAATAAAACAGTCACCATCTGCTTAGGTCACCATCACTATCCTCTTTACACTACTGTCCATCATCTTCAGCTTGGGCAGTAGAAATGAAGGCACCAAGGACTGAGTGTCTGGTGGCCTCTGGAAGGGGACACTGATGGTAGATGTGTTTTGAGAGCCTGTTACTTCCAGGTGACAAAATTGCACTCTTCTCACTGTGCCTATTCTTCCTGAGCCATCCCAACAACTAACATTTGAAAGACTTGTCCTTTTTCCCCTAATTCAAAGCCGTGTTAAGAACAGACAAGTGAAACAAGGCAGAGTTCAAAAATATACTGGTCACTTTTTATTGAGCACCGAAATAGCAGAACCTGCACATGTGTAAGCACCAGGACACAAACCGGGAAGGGTCTGCTGCAAGGCAGAACAGCTCCCCTGGCAGTGGCCAAGGATCCGGAAGGCCATGAGCATTAGTAGCACACAGTGATACACATAAAGTTTGTTGTAGCACCCAACGTGACTTAAAGTGTACATGGAAACATTAAGAACAACCTACAGCAGTGATTTCCTACTGTGCTCCACAGGACTGTTGCTAAGCCATTTGTCTTTGGAGAGAAGACAAGCTGAGGACAACTTATTTGGTCTGTGTTTTCATTTCAGCATCCAATGGATGCCAGTGTTGAAAACGCAGAACTTGGGCAAGTTTTTTCTGTGGCTCTTGTTTCTGAGTTTGACAACGAATAACTTGAAAAGAATTAACTTGAAACAAGCCCCAGCCGTTCTAGCACCATGAGGAAGGGTGATGTCCCTGATAACACCCAGTAAACTGAATTTAAACAACAAAGTATTAATTTGTCAATTTAAATTTTTTAAAATTCCTTTTGCAAGTAGAAAATATCCTTTATATCCTCACCATCCCATCCAGCAAGGTGGACATGTGTGTGCTCTTGTAGCTACAAAAAAGCAGCCACTGAAGTGAGTGTGTACACTCAAATAAAGCATATTTTTGGATGCTTTGCAAGATTAGGTTGAGAGCTGAAGTTTTGATCTTGCAAATTTTTTAATGCTTAAACTTACTAATGCTTAAGTTTTTCACCTACATCGTAGCTTTTTAGGCACTGAATTCTTAATTTTAAAGTAGAACTATTTGGTATTCGCTCTTTGGGTCTTAGCAGTAACCACTGAAGGGCTTTGCTCACTTAATCAGAACTTGATTTCTCTGCAAAAAGTAATGCTGAAAACACTCAATCTGTTTCACTGAGCAGCACGTAGGAGTGAGGCTGCATTAGGACTTTTGTTATGAGCTGTGTTGCTTTAAGTTGTCAAGTAAGGTCAGTGGCAAAGCGGCAGGTTTTTGGCCCAAACTGAGACTGGAACGATAGGATATGGATGGACTCCTGCATCTCAACAGAAGATATCATTGTATGAAGCTGCATATGACAAAATCATAGAAATATATCTTTCCGCAAACATGGTGCTGCATTTAATACCTAGAACTTGGAGCAAAAGCTCAAAGAAGTGAATGGAGTTCAACAAACCAAGATATTTAGGAAAATCTGGAGCCCTTCATCTGTTCCTTTGCTCTATAAAGCATCAGGGAGTGTGTGTGCTTATGACTGATAGAAAACAGAAGAGCAGTTTGGCATCTTTCATCTCACCAGCTGCAAATGTCACAGAAGAAGCATCAAGTGTTTTATAGGTGGTTTAGCTTTGGCTTAAGCTATTTGGTGAGTGTAAAAAAGAATCCCCTAGTTTGTGGGTGGCAGCAGGCACTTGTATTTGTGAATTGGGTATTTATATCTACCACTACTACTCTGCATATTAAAATGCTAATTTTATGCATGCATACAGGGACATGTACTAAATAAGGGAGCAAACACGGCTTCTTTTGCTAGCAATTCTGACAGATTTGTTGAAATTAAATGCAAGTGTCCCTTTGGGAGTGCCACTGGAAAGGAAAACAGCCATAGAAGATGTGTTTTCCGCTTTATAATGCTAAAAGAAGCTGTGAGGCCTAATACAAATAACTTGGCCTTAAGGATTTATGGAAGTTGACATAAAGGTACAGGACTTCTAAAGAGCAGCTGCCCATCTGCCAGACAATCCTTTTAATTACACAAACATCCTCAATTTGCCTTTTTAATATATGCATCAAATAATCCAGACTTCTGCCTTTTTGCTGAGGTTATGTGGGTACAAAAGAGCAGATGTGCACTTTGTGAGTATTAGCTGTGCTGGCTGAAAACTTAAAAAGGCTGGCACATATGTGTGTCTTCTTAGACATTGTAGGGAGAAATCTATTCCATCATTAGCTCTCGATCTGCAGCTCACCAGACTGAGAAGCTAAAGGAAAGTAACTAAATATACATTTATAAAACCGGTTTTGCTCCTAACCCAGAGTTCCTCCAATTCTTAAGACTTCAGGTTTAGGCTTGTGGATTGGGTGTCAAACCTGGTAAGCCTTGGGTGGAAAAGAAGAAACCTGCAGGTTTCTTCAGACTTTAAGCTTACAAAAAGGCTTAGTTGTTCAAGATAGGCAGACACTGGATTGGATCCAGAGATCCCCTTTGGTTACAGTCTTGCCTATTATAATGCAGTTGAGATATGATATTTAGGTACAATTCTGACGTCACTTCATTTTATAATCCTGAGTTATGTTTGTGGTCGTGAAATGTGAATCGGTCACATAACACGTAAGTAAAGGGCAGGCTCTCTTCCAGCAGCCTGACAATGGCATTGTGGTTTATAGGGATCCACTCGGAGGTATTTGCATTTCATTGGTAGAAGGGCAGCTCATAAACAGTGTGGTTTCTTTCAGAGGATCACATTTCTCCCCCTTCTGGTAGGCTTAAAATCTAGATTCACTGTGCTCCTTGGAGAGTGAAGCCTTTTGTCATGGATGAGCAGGGATCAGGGTAATACTGGAGATGTGGTCATGGAGATTTGGGACCAGAGTTCTTCCAAAACCTAGAAAACTGTTGGGTAAAGCATTCCTTGACAGCTGCTTAACAGAGCGGTCCAGCTGGATGAAAATCAAACAAAACAAAAAGAGGAATTAAAATATTTATCCTTCCTGAGATGCTTGCACAGAACTTGTCCTTATGTAGCTGTGCAATCCCAACAGTCAGCCTGACGTAGGTACGTAAAAGACACACTGAGCTGCTTTGTTTCCATAGCTGTCAGTTAAGCTCAAGTTAGTTTTAAAGTGTTGAGTAAACTACCGTGGGACTGAACCTTTGGTATAATAAACATTTTCATTCTTACCTAATTCAAAGCCTGATAAAATGACTGGAGCTTTTTCAGTTGGCTTCGCTCTGGCCGGATACATGTACACTTACTCACATGAGTGGGTCACACTGCTCAGAGCAACTGTTCACACACGTAAAGTTATCCCACAAAATCACCCACCTGCCTAAGTATTTTAAGACTGACCTTTATTGCAATCAGTCCAAAATAAAGAGCTTTTTAATTTGTCTTGCAGGAGCAGTTAGACCTACATTAGAAGAAGCTCCCTAAACAGAAAGGTTAAAATCTTAAGGTAGACAAAGTTTTGCAGCATCCTGAAAATCACTTCATTCTCTAAACACCCTCAAGGTTCTTCAAAGGAATCAGGTGCATCTTGTGAAGTTAGAGTAAAAAAGAGTGAGGGAAAGCAGTATTTGGGAAAGACATTAGCTTCTCATGGAGTGTTTTGGAGACCTCAATCTCCAACGCTGCAGGTTCTCAAGATACTTCTACAGCAAGGTCTGTTTGTCAGCATAGGTGTTTCATGAAGCTCAAAGTATGCATCTGTATGCAGTTTTAAGGTGCTGTCCTTATAGCGGCATTTTGAAGAGATGCAATTTCACCCTCAAACAACCTCTTCTTTAAATAATTGTATGCTAACCACCAACTATTTTCACCCAGCTTTCCCTTTATTCACAGGACACTTACCCTGGCACACCTTTGATTAGCCTAAATGCTTCTGCTGGTTTTTCACATAG